AAATAATTATATATAATTATACATAATTATATATAAAATATGTCCATACATAATTTTTTTAATTATATATAATTAGATATAATTATATCTTATATACATATTACTGTGTGTAATATTTTAATTATGCATTTTTCTATTTATTTGAATATTTATCAATGTTTGAACTTTCATCACTTTGATTTCTCATATTGAAATCAAACTGATAGATATAATTACATCTTTAATATATTTTATTAGTCACTTTTTGTAAACTACACTGAAAAAAAAATTTTGTTGGATTAACAAAAATTCTGTTCGAAAATGGACGAAACGGAATTCTGGTTGAATCTACCAGAATTTCTTTTAATACAACAAATATCTTGTTTACACCAACAAACTGATTTGTTGTACAAACAAGATGCTTGTTACATTAAAAGGAATTCTGGTAGATTCAACTAGTAATTCCGTTTCGTCCATTTTCGAACAGAATTTTTATTAATCCAACAAAATTTTTTTTCCAGTGTATATATAATATTCAAAACAAAATTTAAATACGAGATAAAGCAGTGCATATGCGTCACATATAGCCATAAGCGAACAAAATAGCATAAATGCTTTCTATATATAATTATATAAATTTATATATAAATTATGAGAGCTTATATATAATCATGTCAGATTGTATATAAAACACTACATAAAGAAATATCTATTCCCGATTCAGCCGACTTTCGGACCAATATTTTTCTCGTCTTTTTCTTACAGGGGATGTTTAGAGAAGGAACAAGGGGAATTTCTGAGATCCCAACCATAGGATTCAAATTCCTCAGTTTCCAAAAATTTTCTTATCTTAATTTGTCGCAATAACATCGCGTTTGGCTCTTAGTCGAGATGAATATGGAGTTTTTAAAATATCTATTCGTTATATGCATAATTATATATATATATAGAAGTGTCACGTACACACAATCAGCAGTATATGAAATTATATATACAAAATTATATATAATTATATAATAACTTATACATAATTTTAAATATTTTATATAATTTTATATTTTTTATATTTTTATATATATTATTATATATATTATATATATATAATATAACAAATTTTTACCGGGTTCTACCGAGCGATAAATTTACGATTTTAAATTTCCGTCTTTAATGTCAGCTTGATTTTACAGAATTTTAAAATTTTGACAATTTAATTAATTTCTAAATATATCATATTACAAAGAGAAAGAGAAAAAAATAATAATAAACAAGTTATTTTAAGTACAATATATTTTTAATTAAAAAAAAAATATATATATATATATTAATATAGAGAATTTATATATTCTCAATTATTATAAATAATATCTAAATGAGCAAATAAATGTCAAAATATCACTGGGAAAAATCTCAAAGAATTCACTGTAAAAACGGTGAGTTTATTTCGCGAAAGAAATCTTGGTCTCGGTATCGAGAAGAACCCCTCCGGCATTTGAGCAAAAGGAAAGGAACGGAAGCGGAAATAAAATAGAGATGGAGGTCGCGCACTAGTCGTCCTCACGACGGATATCATACGACTATACACACGCGAAAGACAGTTACGACGCATTTGTGTCAACCGATAACAAGCCGCTCTAACAATCGGTTTCTTCCTCGAAAAGCTTGCAGGGAAAGGGTGAAATCTCGCGTCGGGGGTCCGATCGATAAGAAAAGGTGTAACGCATTCCACCCCATACTTTCTCTTACACGCGTCTTCTACTCCTCCTCCTCGTGACATTTTTATGTTATGCCTGCTGAAGAAGAATTTTTATTTTTTTTTCTTATTTTTAATAAGTTGAAAAGATACTAATATGCGTACATAATAAATATATGAAAAGATGAAGCGCAACAAACTTATTTTTAAAATAAATTATTTCTGGTCCTTTCTTTGAACTATCTCAGCAAATTCTCTTATCGTTTTCATGCTCGTGACATTTTTATGTTATATGTCTGCTGAAGAAGAGATTTTTTTCTCATTTATAATAATAAGTTGAAAAGATTCTAATATGTACCTACATATAAATACAAAGTCAGATATGAAAAGAGCTAACAAAAATCAGATACAGATATAAGACACGACAAACTTGTTTTTAAATTTTTTTAAATATTTTTCCTTTGTCCTTTCTTTGAACCATGTCAGCAATCGACTGCCGAAAAAATCAGGTGTCCTGTACGTCCTGACCTCGCAGCAATATACTGTCATTATATCAATTTTGTACCTAAATTTTTTGTTAGTTGATCTGCTAAAAAAAGATGATCCAAAAAAGAATTAAAGTGTTCAAAATAATTAGAGAAAAAGTTAAAAGTTTGATGCGCTCAATATCTATGCCTGGCTTTTATTAGTCCTTTTATACCTAATTTTTTATTTACAAATTCTAAAATATGTTTCTGTGATATATTTATAATCAAGCACATAATATATCTTCTTCCTCTTCTAAATTCTATAATAAAACGTATAACAAAATATATACATTTGTTGACTTGACACACAACAATTAATCAATTGTTCATGTACGCGCGTCACAGTTATTTGATCAAATTTTAATTTTAAGTGCTTCTCTTCCAAATATCATCTCTCCATTCACTTGGCATCTAAGCAATATTACTGATATATTACTAGCTATGTCGTTTATATTCTTTTTATTGCTCATTTGAGAGAAATTCCTATCTTATTGCTTAATGCTCTTAGGAAATATTACCCCAAAGTGCGCAATAAAAGACATTTCGAATCTTTTTCTTTTCTCTTCCTTTCTCTCTCCTCCGCCGAATATATCCGCGTATCTCTCTTTCGTCCTCTTTTTTATTCTACTCTCATTAAATTACAGTGGATTTATTTGCAATAGGAATATATCACAATCGAGTTTGTTTACCAGTTACTTACAGGGATCATTACAACACAATGATTCTAATGTATATTTTTCATTTTTTTTCTATTCGCGAATAGTCAACCCCAGAAAGACCCGTAATAAAACTCTCACAGTAGAAAAATTTTTGTTTTCTAACGTTAAAAACGGTCTTCGTTAAAATTTTTTTGTTAAACATTTAACACATTCATGTGTTAATTTAACATATTGCTGTTGTATTAATTGAACTTAAATATTAAATTATTAAAACAACTGAAAATAGATGTAAAAATAATACAATGTGTATTTATTTTTAATTTTACACAATAAATATGTTCTGCTTTATTAATGACAAGATTTATCTGTTAAAATGTACAGGAAAAAATGTTAATTTTCCATTTTATAATATAAGTGGGGATGATAAAATTAACATATTTTTAGTTAATTTTTACATTAAAACTATGTTAATTTTACACAAAATTTTAAATTACTTAAAATTTTGCATTTATTTTGTGTTAAAATATAAACACAGTATTTGTGTGCCATTTAACCCTTAGTCCCGACTCATGGGTCGTTTGCGACCCAGTGAACAAGTGATTTTTCCTTAGGTACCTCTATTTCTTAATAACAAACTATATAAAAAAATAATTTTTATCGAAATATTATGATTGGGACTTCAAGTTGAAGGTTGCAAGAAGCTCCATGAATTTCTTCAGATTTTTTAAAGCGTTTTCACTGATCCAAATAACGCAAAGACGCAAACGACCCATGAGTCGGGATTAAAGGTGCCGAAAAGAACCGTCGAGACTAAGGGTTAAGACATCCATATTATGTTAAATTAACACAAAAATTTCTTGTTTTGGATGATGTGATATCTGTTAAAAGCTGAAATTTGTCTAACTGGGTCTCTATCTCTATCTCCATAACCATTGCTCCTCTTACTTTCGTTCTACTCGTCGTTGGCTCCTCTCTGTCTCTCGCGTTCTCTTTATGAGCAATGGAAGAGGTCGTCACACATGAGCGCGTGAGCGCCCATTTGGAGCAATAAACAGTATTTTTAGACTCCTGTCTCTGTCTCTCTCTCTCTCTCTCTCTCTTTGTCTCTCTCATTCTCTCTCCCTCTTTGTCTTTCTCCCTTTCCATGCATCTTCCTCTCTGTCTCTCCCTCTGATCTAGTCTGTCCACGGTTAAATCTCATCATGACGACGTTCAACGCGTCGATCAAACCCACGTAACAGATGCGAAGGTCTAGCTACCGGTGTCATTATCGACCGATATCGCCACGTGTGGAATCCTCCAAGGCGACTTTCATCTATCCGAAGGATCTCTCGCGAATCTTTTTTTAGATTGCCACCTCAAACGAGGCGAAATCGTCTGCGGACGATTCCTCACGCGTTCCAGGGAGGACGCAGGAATTAATATTCAAAATTACAATGTATTATTTCTTACAAATATATTCCTTGAAATTGAATTTATGCCATCGAACATTTCGGGCAATTTAAACTGAAACTTTAAAGCCTGAAATTATAATTATATCGAAATATTTGATCAGTACTTATGTACACAGAGAGAACTTTCTCTTAGAATTTATCCTGAAGATCATAGTAATCATGGAATATGGTATTGGAATTGTCGTTTCTTTTTTAATAAAAGAATTTTAACTTTGCCGGTGTTGGTCAATCAATTCTTGCCTAATTTTGTTTTTAAAATTCAACTGGCGATCAGATCACTTTTTCCGCTTTTAAATATTGTTCAACGATTAAAATAATTTTCAGGCTAAATTCTAAGAGAAAATTCTCTCCATGTACGATTCGCATTCAAATATTTTACCTGAACCCTAATTTTTTTCTTCTTGTTATTTCTAACGCAGGAATTTCTTCGTTTTGCGAGAAAAACAAATATCGAGCCACAAAGAACTTTAAACACATTATGTCCGGATTACATGAGATCGCTCGAGCAGATTATTCCGTCACGTTATGACGCAATTATATTCACATTACGCGTTTGTCCACGCCGAGATATAATTCGGAGTAATTTCTCTATGCAGTATCGACCGTAATATCCTACATATTCTATAATACCTGGTGATACAAGGATAATGATCGAATTTAGTACAAAGTTCGTTCGTTCGTTCCTCCGCAGGCAGAAGATAAGCTCGGAGGCGAGCAGCATCACCGAGGTAATGGCATGGTACACGAGCGTGAACGCGGCTATGCTGGATCACCTGACTAATCAGATCAAGGAGACAGACAACAGTGGGGTGTGGAGGTAAGATTTATCCAATCGTAAGTTTTTTCAGGATGTCTAGCCAAATTTAAGAATAAAATTTAAGGACATTTCCAAGACATTTTATAAGAAAATTTCCACGATTTTTCAATAATATAATAAAGATGTACACTGGGAAAAAAATTCTGTTGGAACAAATCAGTTTGTTGGTGCAAACAAGATATTTGTTGTATTAAAAGGAATTCTGGTAGATTCAACCAGAATTCCGTTTCGTCCATTTTCGAACAGAATTTTTGTTAATCCAACAAAATTTTTTTTTCAGTGTACAAAAAACTAAAAACTTTATTTTCATTATCAAGCCCATAATTGCATGTTAATGAAAATTGATATATGCATTATATCAATATTAGATACAATATTCTCTTATATTATATTTTAACGCTTAAAATCTATAAATAACTTATGCATAACACATATTTTGGACTCCTAAATTATATATATTGTATTATTTACAAAGTAAGATGAAATATTTTGTACTCGAATAGTCTCAATTGCTCGTTTAGCTAAATGTTTATATAGAAGCAACAAAAAGAAAACCAAGAATCTATGAAAAATCAAAGTACATTTCCAGGATTTTTAAAGAACAAACAAAATTCCAAAACATTTCAAGGCCTTCAAGGATTTCAAGAACGACTAGAAACCCTGCTTTTGCAAAAAAGACTGAATCTTTCTCTATTTTTTTCTCTGAGAAGAGCGAAACAATCGTGATTACAAAAGAATTTCTGACATTTCAGGTATCTGATAGCTTTCAAGAATCTCCTGCGGAGCATCGAAAGCCTCGGGATCGCCTCCGTGGAGGGTATCAATTATTTTGGTCGCGGTGTCCTTCCTGGGGACAATTACGTGAGTTATGTTCGCCACGAAGCCCTGGGTCGCGATCTCCTCAACGCAGCCCTTACATACGTTCCCTCCCTGAAGATGTTCTACGCTGAGCTCACGCGAACGATGCCCGATTACGGCAAGATTAAGGCAAGGTAAAAAAAATGTCTTTCGCGTTTCTCTTCCTGATCGCACGGATCAATCTTATCGAATGGATCTTTGAAAAAAAATTTTTTCGTAATATCCCGGGAAAATTTTTTATATATAACAATATAAAATTATACAATTATATGTATAATATTATACAATTATATATAAAAATTTTTTTCCAGGATTTTTTTTCACTAGGTCAATTTTTCAAGAATATTGTATCGTGAATGTTTTGTGCTAGTCGAGCAATTGAAATAGCTTCTATTATTGGAACTTCTATCTACGGAATGTACATTATGTTTCATCGTTAATCGAAGGATATTCAATATATTTATTTATTCCTCTGCAAAGAGTTTAGATTTAGTTTCTATGTAAATAAATTAATTTTATTTTTCAGAATTATCACCTTGCGTTAGTTGACTTACAAAAGCTTAACAACACTAGAAAAGAACATTATTGATTCTCATGTATCTCTAAAATTTTCAATTTAAATGCTTCAGCTGAAACTCTCGGAAAGAAAATGCTTTTTTACGAACAAAAATATATCGTATGGAAAATTGAAATCTCAAACATGATTCATATTGATCTATGTTTAGGAGATATAATTACAGTCAAAAAATGAAAAAGTACGAGCGTGAAAATATTCTCCGCCGCGTATTTTGAGAAAATACAGACATTTTTCTCCTAGTAAATTAGGGGAAGTGTTTCGGGGATGCTTTTTACGCGCATAATAAACGAATGATATATTATGGTAAAGAACGCGCGAAGACAGAATTAAATACGTGAACGTTGTGTATTCTCTCCTCAGGCGAGAGGAGATTCTACGGAATCACAAGAGGGAACAAAGCGTGGAAGACGCAATAGCTTACTTCGATTCGATGGCCACTTACATCGACGAGCTGCGTAAGCTGCAACGGGAATTGCGTCACATGATAAGGTAGCAAATCCTTATAAATGGAATTGTTTCCCCGTTTCAATTCTTACCCCTCAGTGAGACTCATAAAATATCACGGATACATATACAGTGCGAGAGATTTGACAGAAGAAATATATCTCCTTAGAAATTACTCGATAAGCGATTCATCATTCAAAATATGAAGAATAAAAATTATGATAATCGTGAGGCAATATAATACTAGAAGAATTTATAAGAGTTTTTCTGTGATTAATATTTATTTACCACAATAAAAAATATTAATGTCTATCATAATAAAACATAAAATATGTTCGATTAATTTTACTATATAAGTATGCATAGTAAAATTTATTATGTACATACTTACCAATATTTTTATTGTGATAAATATTAATCAGAGAAACTCTTATAAAAGTCTTCCAATACTATATTGTTCTACGATTACTTATCATGATTTTCAGAGTAAATTCTAAGAGAAAATTCTCTGTATTGACCGTGTATTGACTGTGAATGATAAATCTATTAAATTTAATTAATTGAATTTTTTTACACACAAAAAAAATTTCTTAAAGACAAATTAAAATGTTAAAACAAATTAACATTGTTAATTATATTAATATTAATTCTCTTAAATTTGCGAACAATTAATTAATTTGTCACAATTTATTGCCTGACAGTAGAGATTACCTGTTGTATGTATATATACATATATCACCTATAAAATATATTAATCGTCGATTCTATGTTGCCAGGGATTATGTCAATTCGACGTTGCAAGACGCCAGCAACAAGGAAGTTGCTGGTATCGCTATCGTTGTTCTGGTGTTGGTGGTGTCGCCCATCATCATCATCCTGATGCGTAACGCCGTCGCCACCATTCAGGTATGCGATTCAAATGTCGCCGATTTGATTCCCTTTCATGCCACATGTGACTCTCTTTCATACATAGCGCTCATAGTAATTTGTATACCGAGTGTCTAATGTAGACTTGTAATTTTCGTCGGATTTTCTTGACAAAGAATTTAAAACTATAGTTAATTCTAATTCTTTTTCTTTAAATTAAAATAAGTTTATCTCTATAGAAAAGTAGATCCAAATAATAATTTTTGAATTATATTAAGACTGGAGGACAAATTAAATATCTACTGTCTACATAAGGAAAAAAACAGCATTCCTGGCGAAAAAATGTTTGAATTTTATTTGACTTGTTCGCCTGAATATTTCAACTCGCGACAGTATACAAATCTTTTCAACATCGCTTGTCAACACGAACTTGCTTATTGTCGAACATAGAGTAACGAGAAGGGTCATGGGGAAACTTCGTGACCGCGTGTTAGTTAGTTTCGTAGGCGAATCCTATAATTCGATTTCTTGCTCTTGAGTTCGAAGCCGCGATGTCGGCGAATAAAGGGCGCATCTCGTGACTGACGTCTTAATGGAAAATCAGTCCAAGTCTATTTGCGATAAGTGAAATTCCTCAAAGGAAAATGTTCTTGTGTGAGATTTTCAGCGCTGATTTTATTTACGGCAAAATTAATAGACAATAATAATCAATAATTAATAATAGATAATAAATAAATTAATTATCTGTTTGTAAAAAAAAATGCGCACTCTTTTTTATATACCAAATTTGCATGCAGAAACGATTTAAATTTTTAGAAAATCGTAAAAATTTATAAAGTATTTAAAATATTTAATTTTAATAAAAATTGTTTGAGAGAAACAGAATGATCAATTTTTGATTCTTTTTTATTTTAGTTCTTTGATAAAGTTGTCGCCATAATTATACGTATTTTATTAATTGCAGATGTACGCCGCAAATTTGGCGCAAAAAGCACGTGAATTAAAACGCGAAAAGAGAAAGAGCGACACATTGCTCTTCCAAATGCTTCCACCTAGCGTCGCCCAGCAACTCAAGCAGACTCAACAGGTGAAAAATATTTTAAATCGTTTATAAACCAGAATTTGTTCAGAATTGAAAACACAAATTTTTAATTCGAGATTATATATATATATATATTATTATTTAAATAAAGATTAATAATAAGAATATTAAAAAATTAAGTACGTACAGGGTGTATCTAAATAAATGCGAAAAATATTAGGAAATAATTATCTTATAAAAATCTTAAATTTTTAAACTTTATCTTCTTTAAAATCTTTAAGATTTTAATTTGTATTTATATACAATTCTTTCTTCATCAAAAATAGATATTTAATCCTACATTTTAAATTTTCTTAAAGTACTTCGGTAGACTAATTGCAACGGATTTATATAAATTTTTGTGATGAATCTTTCAAGAATTCTTTGATTCTCTTAAATTATTCTATTAGTTCTGACTTTTTCGTAAAAATTAATTGTAAAAAAATAACGGGGAAATAAGTTTTATCTACCATTTGTGACATTTTATTTTACGATTCTCTTAAATTATTCTATTGGTTCTGACTTTTTCGTAAATAATTAATTGTCAAAAATAACGCGGAAGTAAGTTTTATCTACCATTTATTTGTGACATTTTTATTTTACGTGATCTATAATTTTTTTTCGTTCAACAGGTGCCGGCCGAGTATTACGAGGCGGTGACTGTCTACTTCAGCGATATAGTCGGCTTCACGGAGATCGCCGCGGAAAACACACCCCTCGAGGTGCGTCTTATCCCGGTCTCGCGGGAACGACCGATCGATCCTGAAGCGAATTGCTAAATTACGTACACTAAAATTCCATCACGATGCCACGGCGAACGATGAAATCGTGCGCATACCGTGCGAATTCTACCACGCGAGATAATTTCGAATCGTGACATTAAATCATTAATCCGTCAATTCGCCATTCTCGTCTCGTTACCGTTATTATTTATTTATTTATCATTATTCTCGTATTTGCTTCGACGATCGCACGGAATATTTGCTCGAATTATTTCGATATTTAATCCCATTTGGGATTTTACGTATCATCCGATTTAATTTCGCATTTTATGCGAAATATACATTCCCATTTTAAGAGAAACGAATGATCTATATTTGATTGTCGAATATGACGCATGTGACGAGAGAACTGTATTTTTCTTTCTTCTTTTTTTTTTAGGTAGTGACATTTCTCAACTCGATCTACAAACTGTTCGACGCGCGTATCGAGTGCTACGACGTATACAAGGTAGAGACCATCGGGGACTCTTACATGGTCGCTTCCGGCCTGCCCGTTAGAAATGGTAAAAGTACGAAGTTTCCCCCCTAGTTCCGCTTGCTGTCTGCGGCCTTGTTGCATGTTTACTATTTAAAAAAATACACGATTCCTTTTTCGCACCAGTTTTCTAAACACATAAGTTGTACAGAGTGTATCTAAATAAGTGCGAAAAATTTTAGATAATTCTTTGTTGAAAATTATGGAGGGTTTCTTATATAAACACATACTCTTGTATGTGTCGGAAAGTATCCACCAAGTTTCATTTTTAATTTGTATGTTTAAGAAAAAAAATAAAAACTTAGTTGTTATCTTTTTTTTTAGAAAAGTATAACTCCTCAGATATATATATATATATAAGAGTATGTGTTTATGTAAATATATAAGAAACCCCTCCTTAATTTTCGACAAAGAATAATTTCCTAATTTTTTTCGTATTTATTTATAGATACATCCTGTATATACTTAATTTTTTAATATTCTTATTATTAATCTTTATTTAAATAATTGAGATCTCTAACATCTAGTGGTTGCTTTAACCTTCTAAAATATATTAGTTTTATTTTTCCTAATATTAGTTTTTAATATTAGTTAATTAAAAAAAAGAGTAGTCATTGCAGTAATTCCCTCCCAGAAAATTAAAAAAAATTCAGTGCTTTGCATTTAAGCATTTAAATAATTATAATGGTTTCTTTACATAATATATATTCAGCTTAATTATATTCATTCAAAAGTGTCATTATACAATATTGTATTCAAATCAAATATTTCACAATAAAATGCAAAACAATCGCGATTGCAGAAAATTCAAATAAGATCAAATTTAAAACTTCTTTAATTTGTCTTTTTTCAATTTCTCTCAAATTTGTGATATGTAATTTATTCTGTAAATATAGATTAAATTTTAATTTTTAATAACGCAGCATTCGAGTAACGATTATAATGAGTGTCGAAAAATTTAAATGACGTCAATTCTCATCATCTGTTATTCTGAGAACAAACATTTTCTTTCTCAAAGCTTACACGGTGTCTCGAACAAATAAGAATGAAATGTTGCGAATGATGTTACAATAAAATTATTTATTTTATTTATTTAAAAAATATGAAATAAAAAAAGATAAAAATATAATAATATAAATTTAAATTTGAGAATTATGTACATAATAGAAATTTGGAAATTATGTACATAATAGAACACATCATTTTTATCGATGACAAACGGACAATTAATAAATTGACACACGTAACAATGGCAAAAATTATAAATTACTCACCGAGTGGTCGCTCTGTCGTCGTCCGATGTCTCCTCCTTTCTAGTTTAGTCTATTTTAATGTTCATATTCACACGAGAAAAGATTCACTCGCGAAAATATTCAACATTTTTTAACACGCGCACTAATCAGCTAATTATATCTGTACGATTCGCGCGACGCGACTTGAATAATTCGCGAATACGCGAGTGACTCGAGTGATCCAATATATTAATATTATCTCGATATATAGTAAAGTTCATGATCAACGATCGACAATCAATTGATTATTTAAATAAATATTACACTTTAGACATACGAGATGAAAATGTTTCGATAAAAATCGCGCGATGATGAATTAAATTAACCTGAGAAAATTCACTCGCGAAAACATGATTGCACACTATTCAACTAATTACATCTGTATCTGAATCTTAGTTAGTTAGTTTAATTCATCATCGCGCGATTTTTATCGAAACATTTTTATCTCGCATGTTTGAAAGTGTAATATTTATTTAAATAATCAATTGATTGTCGATCGTTGATCATGAACTTTACTATATATCGAGATAAGTAAACGACACGAAAATTGCGATACCAAATAGATAGTCGTCGCATCGTCGCCATATATTATTTTCAACAAATAGTTTTGCGACAGATTTCAAGTCAAATAAATCGATAAATAAGTTAACATGCATATCTCGATATTAAACAATCAATATATCGATCTCGATTGGATCACTCCAGTTGATTCGCGTATCACTTTGTGTGTTTCATAGTCAACAAAATGGCGAGCGCGTTTTGTATTATTTAAATAAATATTATTTAAATAAATAGATAATCGCGTTTGACGTTAAATAAATAGATTAAATAAATAGATGATCGGTTGATCCTCGACACTTTTCGCGACGACGTCTCGAAAGTTAATGTCGCGTTTGCTGCCGGCCCGCTCGAGATTCATCGCGCGAATGACGAAAAGATAACCACACTCAGGTAACCGACAGTGTAAATAGCAGCCGCGCGCCAGTTTTTGAGTCACTTATTTTCGACATTCCTCGATACCTCTCGCGACGAAGGTTCTCGAAGGTTAATGTTGTGTACAAGGTACAAGAGAAGAGCGCATCGCGTTCGGCTGCCAGCCCGCTCGTCACTGCGCGAGTGACAATAACAAGTTATGGACAACGAGATAACCGAGAGTGTAAACAATAGCCGCAAAAACGAGCGCCAGTTTTTGAGCCACTTATTTTCGCCTCCCGGGCACGAAAATATTTGACATACCATTATATGTTTAAATATTGAATATTCCGTGCTTCTGGAATTTTCGAATTGACAGATGTCAATAAATAAAATATATACACAATATATATGTATATATCGCACTTTTTGTCACTCAAGTCTCTGTATTATTTATTCTCCTTCAAACTCGAAAATATTATTTTTAAATACAATACTATATAAATTCTTCGATAATGTAAAAACAAGAATAAAATTTTAATAATTATTTAATATTCGATAATGTAAAAACAAGAATAAAATTTTAATAATTAATTTAATAATTAATTAGTATACTCAATATATTCGCAAAAAAGTCATTTATAATTTTTTAAGTTAAAAAGAAAAGACTAAAGAATTGCTCTGATTCTCGAGGATTTAATTCTCCCAAATTTCTTCGGCTCGATATTCGTTATTTTTTTATATAAAAAAAAATAAATAAAATAAAATGATCGAGAGAATTCTTTTCAACGCATGTGAACAAATATTTCATTTCATTTCACGAGATGTGTTGCTTTTTATACACATATATACTTGAACGCTTGCGTCGTTTCGAACAACATCGTTCTTCCGATTCATCTTCCTCGTTTGTCCAGGTGACAAACACGTGTCCGAGATCGCGACGATGGCGTTGGACCTGCTGGCGGCCTCCTCCGTCTTCCAAGTGCCGAAACGTCCCGGGGAACGGCTTCAGATAAGAAGCGGGGCCCATACCGGACCCGTCGTCGCCGGCATCGTCGGCAGCAAGATGCCCCGTTACTGCCTCTTCGGCGACACCGTCAACACCGCGAGTCGCATGGAATCGACCGGAGAAGGTAATTATTTTTCGCATTTTTATTATATTTTTATTATTATATATATATATTAATTATTATTTTTATACTTATAAATATTATATAACATATTTAATCTAATATCCCGGGAAAAAATAGTCCATATATAAATATATATGAAATATGTCCATTTATAAATTTACTTATATGATTATATATAAATATAAATGTTTATAAAATTATTTATAAAATAGTTACATAATATTTTAAAAATATATATATTTTTAATATTTATGAATATTTATCACAAATATTGTGTGCTGTTTGGGTAAAAAAATCTTTGTTTAGCTGAATTATTTCCCCGAATAACAATATCTCTCACTTGCATTGTATTTTCTTTACATTTTTCAATATTATTGATTAATTTTCAATATTTATATTTTTATTCAAGCTCTGCGGATTCATATCAGCTTGGAAATGAAGAAGGCGCTCGATGCTGTAGGCGGTTTCAAGATCGAACATCGTGGTCTCGTCGACGTCAAGGTAATTTCTTTTCCGAAATCTGTATTATATTAATAATAATAAAATAATTAATATATATATATATATATATATATTTATATTTATATACAATATATTTACATATAATTTTTATTACTAGTATTAATTATTAAAATTAAAATTATATTTATTATTATTATTTAAATTACTTTATTAGAATTTTCAATAATTTTTTTTCTTTACACTATATTTTCGGACAATTTCCCTTTTCTCGGCATTGAAATTTGATTCCCGGTTTTACTTCTCCACAGGGCAAGGGCCTGATGGACACATACTGGTTGGAGTGCAAAGACGGCGGAATCGCGCGTGCCGCCGAGCTAGATCTGCCATCGTTCTTCGAGGACGTTCGACCGGTCTTCATGCGGCGCCTGCGAGAGGAAGGTACCCTCTGATGCGAACCGTACTCTCGTCGGGACCTCTGGTACCTGAACCGGCGTCCGAACCCGTGTATCGTCCGACTGTCTCAGCCGAATCTGATAGATCATCTGAGACGACCGGGTCAGGGCCGCAAAAACCGGCTGTCCCATCCGAATCTGCACATCACCCCGGTGAGGGCGCCGCCGCAGTCTCAATTGAGCATCGAGTCCCAAGATTCTTACTCGACCACTCCCTGTCCACCCAGCTACTCGCCTGCTAGTCAACGTAGTCGTTACTCCCAGCCAAATCTGCCGACTCTCCTGATCTCGTACGATCGACGTTCAGGCGGCTCGCCCGATCGTCGATACCGCATGTCGCAGCCGACCCTGAACTCCAGCCTAAGCGGCATCAACTTCTTCGGCATGAACCGCGGAGTCGGGGTCGGCCGTCTGTCTTACACCAGTCTACGCGCCACTTCCGGTGACAATAGCATCAACGAGGAAGAGAGACTCTCGACGCCGAACGTGCATGCTCTTGGCGGCAGCGGTAGCCCGCGAGGGAGTCTAACGATGGAAAGAAGTTCCTCGAGGCTCTCGCAACCGGATGTGCGCCGATTCGCTTTGCGACACGACAAGCGCGAACGACTGTCGCAGCCTACCCTGGTCACCGGCGATTACTATCCCGGCCGGGTGCAGCAACGTCTCTCCCAACCGTGTCTCAGCACCGGTTACCGCGAGATCGGCGGAATCGGTATGGTACCTTCGCCATCGCCGCCACCCTTCCCTCTGAAGCACAAGAGATTCGTGCCGGTTCTGCAAGCGAGTCAACGCGACCGTCTGTCCCAGCTGGACATCGGCTCCAAGTACAGAAACATCAAGGACAACCTGGGCAGTGGCGGCGGAGTCGCGCAGGTCAAGTTCAATCGTGATCGGTTCTCGATACCGGAGCTGGAGACGCAGAACGATCTGCGACTGATCGCGGGGACACCCAAGCAACGCTTCAGCCTGGACAGTCAGCTGGCGAAGCAGCGCTTCAGCCTGGACAGCCAGGATAGCTGCAAATCGCGGCTGCTGCCGATCGCGAGCTCGCCGATCTTCGAGCATCAGCAGATGAAGACCGAGGAGCTCATCGGGATAACGTCCGACAGGCTGAAGAGTCCAACCTGTGAAGGTCTGCAGAGCGTGATCGTGGCCAGCACCTCGCCGATCTTTCCAGCTGGTGAAAGACGATTTCTCGCACCGGACTTCCCGTTTCCCGGCAGGAAACTGTCACCGTCGTCACTCAAAGCCGGGGATATCGGGAAGACTTCCCGCGCTTCCGGTAAACCACCGCCGATTCCGGTTCGGGAGAGAATGTCGGTACCGGAGATCAGGAACTCGAGTCTACGCCGATTGCTGGATCCGCCTGCTCGGCAACGGCACAGCATTGCCGGGAGCCTGAGGCAGTCGTTGCTGTCCCCGGTGAAGCTGCCCGAGTTCGCCACCGGTGGCAGAAAATCACCGCGATTCTCGGTCGACGACGCGCTGGAGAAGCTGAAGAGGATCGAGAATGAGGAGAATCGACGGAACCAGGAGGTGAGCGAGGAGAAGGAGCGAGAGGCCAGGGAACAGGATCAGGAGCAACTGCAGGAACCCAAACACATCCAACGACACTATTCTTACACCTACGAGACATCCGGTAGCGACGAAAGCGGCAGCGTCTCGACCCTCGGGAGGCTCAGCGTAGGTGGGACCCCGAAGCGGAAGTATCTGGAGAGCAACTTCGACGAGAACGAGCAGGTGATCACGACGGTGATCGAGACGGAGGTGCCGATCATCCTACCGAGCACTCCCGGTAAGTACGCGAAGAAGGTCCAGGCGTACTCGAGCGAGACCCCGAAGTGGATCCGGAAGTACTTGGAGAACGATAGCCCGAGGATCGGCCGGAAGACCTCCGCCAGCGGCAAGGACCAGATCGCCAGGACGAACCGCAGAAACAGCCGCAGGAAGAGCTCCCTCGAGTCGATCGAGACCGGGTCGAAGAAGCCCGAGGAGAAGACCCGCTCCAAGTCGGCCAGCTGCGAGGAGAGGTGCGTCAAGGACATGACGGAGCAGTCCTTGGACGTGAGGGAGACCTACGTCAGAATCGTGCCGTCCAACAACGCCCAGGAGGAGAACAGGTACGAGGTCGGCGTGGAGACCACAGCGACTCCGTGGACGAACCCCGACGGCCGAGGTCTCTACGGCGACGACACCGACACGGACGACTCCACGTCGATCTAATTCAGCCGGAAAGGATCTCCTCGTCATCTCTCGGCTGGATCTTCGAGCGCTATGTATGCGTGATTATGTATGCGCGATTACCCTAATAGCATATATAACATATCCGAAAGATATTCAGAGGATATCCAGAGGACATTCGAACATCTTCAGAATATTCTCTGAACGTCTTTGAGATATGTGTGCTGTTAGGGTGTCGCTGTTATAATAAAAAAAATTTATAATTTATAAATTAAATTATAAATTTTTTTATTTATAAAAAAAATTATAAATTTTATAATTTCTATATATTAGCTTAAGAATATATTTTATTGTCTTTCGTCGAGTATAAAAGTAAAGCGGGTAAATGTATGTGCGTGTGATTATCCGCTATTAAACTACTGGGGAAAATTTATAATTTTATTATAAATTAAATTATAAATTTTTTTGTTTATAATTTATTTAAAAAATTATAAATATTATAATATCTATTAGCTTAAGAGTATATTTGTGTCTCTTGTCGACGAGCATAAAATTAAAGCGAGTAAATGTATGTGCGTGTGTGATTATCGTTGTTAAACTAATAAAAAATTTATAATTGTTTATAAATTAAATTATAAATTTTTTTTATTTATAATTTATACAAAAAATAAATGTTATAATTAGCCTAAGAATATAATTTTATTGCGTCTTTTGACGACGAGTATAAAATTAAAGCGGATAAATATAATTAAATGATGCGCTCGAACATTAATTTATCTGCTTAATTAATTACGTAGTTAATTATAGGAGAAAATTTTTAGATTTATAATTTTCTGGTGTTAGTTGAGAGAGTGTTTTCAGTTATGAATATAATTACGCAATATCATTCCATTACACCATTATAGAACATGCAACCGAATGAAACTGATTTTAACGAGAAACCTATAAATGAATCACTTTTGTTACGTAAAATATTTCAGAATCTTTTGTTTCAAATTTACTCAGCCACACAAAGAGACTGAATAGAGAATTGAATGAACAGAGAATATATAAACCATGTACCACCCAAATGAATGAAACATTGCATAATACAAGTCAGATTGTAATAATTGAGGCAGATACAAAAGAGAAAGATCGATGAGAGAGAATTATCTCGAGAAAGAATCTCGAATATTTTGTACTTAATAACGCTGCACTCTCTTTCTCTCTCTGCGTCTCGTCCAACAGAATGAAGAATCAGAAAAGACCGAATGCGGATACATATTTTTTCACAAACAGTGGACCACATGCGTTTTAGCCTAATAAATAATATTCAGATCTGTGTGCTTTATCGACTTTTTCAATTAAAAAAAAGAATATATTACTTCTGTTTTGTACATATCTCGAACATAAAAATGCGTAGAGCGAAAAGCCGAGATGGATTTAAGGAGCGAAGATTTGCGATATTCAAACTCGCGAACAATTTGGATTTATTTCTCTTTCGATCTCCTCCGGCAAACTGACGAGATAAATGTTTGTTGCGGATTTTCGATCCACGTGTTCACTCGTTTCTGCGTGCAACGTGTTTTCGATCCACGTGTTACATTAGCTCGAAGTGTATGCGATTATTATTTTTATCATGCTTGCATCGAGAGAGACGTAGAAATTAAGTGTAAAAAAAAAGAAAACAGTCCAGCTTGTATATACGTCGATTATAGGGAGTGATAATATATTGCTAAATGTATGTACACCGTTGCATTGTTTAGAAAGATTGTAAGATCGTTTGATGTTCTTGATTGTATAAATTTTTCGTTTCTCGTCGAAGATATTTTTCGCTTGCAAAAATGAATTTATTTATAATAATGTCGCGCGAATGTTCATTTTCTTTTACCGATACTAGTCATTAATGGGGTTTTATAAGCGGTCAAATATATATATACATGCATAATTTTTTCGCGAATATTTCGAATGCGAATATGTATGTGAGCATCGAGTAGTTTTATTTATCTTTAGCACAGTGTCATTTTACTCCTATATACATATGTTACATATATGGCATTTAATACATGAGTAAAGATATCAAATATTACCAAGTCAAAATATGCATAAAAAGATGCATTATGCTTTGTAAAAAGAACATGCCTTCTATGTACACCTGATTATACATAGGTCAAAATATATAATCCATTGTTATAGTCTGAAAAGATCTTTTTCTTTCAAGTCCTTTGATTACAATTTTTTTACATTAACATATCTTGCTACATATTACATACATGTGTATGTATGTAAATATAAATTATAAATATACATATATATAATTATATATATATATAAATATATTTTATATGACATTTTATATAATAATGTATTATATATATGTATATTATATATTTATATATATGCATATATATATAATTTATATACATATATACATATATAAATTATATATATATATATATATATATTTATAAATTATATGTACATACATATAATTTGTTTTACATTCACATCCTTTTTAAAAACTAGTTAAGAAACTTTTGTATCATTAATATTGAAAATGCTATTATAGGAATTTTTTCTTGCTTTTCATTGCTGTAACACATTTCATAAATAGTTAGAAATTAATTCGATATGAATTCTCTATGTATGTATAAATGTAGTCTTTTTTTATCATAACCGCATTGATTATCGATCGCGAGTGCGTAATTGGAATAAAAAAGCTAGCTAGACATAATACACCATCAGATAACATATTTATTGTGAAGACGGTGCTCTTTGAGACACGGCATTGAGCAGAAGCGATTGGCGTTATACTCAAAAGGCACCTTGTTGGTCATATCAATGGCGCATTGGAAGCACCGCGAGATTACACTGAATCCTTCGCTTAACATCCGATTCTGCGTAACTAATGCTCTCTATATAACAAAACGAAAAAAACTAATAAAATATTAAATTGAACAAAAATTTAAAAATAACGTATTAATAAAGAAATACACTTTTAACATACCTTTTCTTTATCGCTGAGATTAAGAAATCTTTGCTTCTCGTTTTCTTCCTGCTTCTTCTGTTCAAATTCTTTCCTCTTAACTTTTTCTTTAAAACGTTTCAATTTCCGCTGCTGCCTTTTCTTCTCCACTTCCGCTTGCTCTATCTCATCGCTAAGTGGCCCAGGTATTTGAGACTATCAAATAATACATAAATGTAAAATAATTTTTAAATAGCAAAACTATATTTCTTTTAATATAATTCCTAATTTTATATTTCTTTTCATTGCAATATGTCCTGTTATAAATAATATTCTGTTATAAATAATACCTTTTGATAATTAAACTTATCCGGAAAAGCTTCCATAAATCTTCTAAATGTATTTTTAGTCTTCTTATCGTTAGAAGCGGCATAAGGTGTCTGTAACTTTTTATTCTTATTGCAGGGATCAGATCCGATTTCCAACAACAACCTATGGATAAATCGAGTTATGTAAAAATTGCTTAAAATTTGTGCTATTTTTTAAAATATGTCCAATAAATATAATATATATTAAATTTTAAAATATATATATATATATTAATAAACCCTCTTCATAATAAATTACAAAGACGTACCATACTTGTTCGCAGTGTCCACCAAGCGCCGCTAAATGCAACATTGTATTGCCATCCTCGTTTGTATCGTTAACTAATTTCTTTACGTCATCCGTGCTTACAAAACTATCATTAGACGTTGTGCCATCGACTGCAATATCTTTTTTATTCAGCTCCTCCTCGCATGCTTTAATTTTGCTTAACAAATCATCTATGACTGACGATAATAAATCGTTATCGCCTTGTTTACATGCAGTCCATAGCTTGCTTCTAGCATCCAACAATACTTCATTGATAATCTGAGCTAAAATAATACAATAGAAAATATTTTAAAAAATGGCAAAATACATATTATTAAAATATTTTTCTACGCAACTTTCTTAATTTTTAAGAGAGGATATTTTCTTTATATTTAAATTATCTTTATGTAATTTTTGTTCTTGAATTATTGCAACAAGCTGCAAAAGTCACAATATATTTGCGAGTCATCTATTAAATAAATAAATCTTACCTTCCTTCTTCACTTTTTTTTTCTGCCGATGAGCTTTCTTGTTCTTCATATATTTTGGCACGGTATCCTGGAAAGATTGTAAACTTTCGACCAAATCTACTTGGAAATCTTGTACAATTAAGGGAACGTCCGGTGAAAGTTTCACATCCATTTCCGATTCAGAGGATGATTGAGCTAGTTTAACGATAATATCTGTAAAATAAAAAATCTTTTTCATTTTAACAATTAAGTGATAACAAATATAATATATGAAAAAATATAATACAAACATATTTATATAAATAACAAATTTTTAAATAAGTACAAACATGTCTGATACAAAGAAAACTAGGTATTTTATGATTACTTATGGTTCATATTAATGACATTAATGCCGTGTACCTGGCAGCGGCCGATTCGGACTTTTCCTCGGTTTTGCTCTGTCTATATGCGGACGAGAATTCCGGTGTTGTTTCTCCGGTGTAGATTGTGCGGGTGTTTTAAACTTATCGTTCTCTTGAGGACTACTAGTACTACCTACGTTAGAATTACATTCGGCAGCAACTTCTCCTTCTGGTATCTCGCTCATAATCTCCGGTCGTGAAACTTTCTTACGTATAGGTTGTCGTGGAGAATTGGGAAAACAATCGGTAAAATCCGCTGCTGAGCCTGAAATACAATATTACCAAATAAATTATAAACATAGAAAAAAAATGGACAATTTAGAAGATAAATAATCGTTTACCATAAATCTCCATGGTGCTCAGTATATCGTATACCCTTTTGACTTCTCTAAATGTGGCTCTACGCGTGGGAAATGGCAGTGGTCTTATTCTAAAATCGTTCTTATCTAAAGGAGGGTTCTTGCCGCCAAAGAGCACTGTGCGATTGTGCGGTCCGACTGCTCGATACAAAACAGCTGACGAATTATTGATATGCGTCGACCATGATTCCAGTATCTCTTGCACATGCTAAGAAATATCATTTATAAGAATTATATAACTTGTGAAGGTAATTTAATCGCATAAAATATTAAATCTAATTCTTCCACATGCTAAGAAATATCATTTATAAGAATTATATAACTTGTAGAGGTAATTTAATCGCATAAAATATTAAATCTAATTTACCTGTAATTTCTATGTATAAGTAATCTTGAAAGCATACCTGAATAAGTGAAGCTTCGTTATATCTTCGCAAACTGGCACCAGCACTCTTCGCGTGATTACCGTTCGTCCGAGAGCTTTGAGCGAAACCTTGCTTAGCTCGAACGGTATAAGAATGGAAGGTCTTGTGCACAAGAGGTTCGCCATCTGTGATAATATGTTAAAGCAAGTCGTTGTAATGATTATATAAAATACCTGCACTCGTGAGAAAAACATTCTTAATACAAGATGTGCGTACTTTGAAATACAGCCGCAGCAAAGTGTCCACCTCCAACCATGATAATCGTCCATTTGGTCGTTCTGCCACTGTGGAGTGCCTGAGTAATCATCTTACTGTCTTTCTCGGGAATGTCCTAAAACGTAATTGCATATCTCCCGATCTGGCAAGTAAAGAGCACGCCAAGTGACTCAAGGTAGACCAAATTTTAAGATGATATGTCATAATTATTATGCACATACATATTGGCACAATAATTACATTTAGATTTCTAAGTGCGTCTCTAATTCATAACAACTTAATGACAAACCTTCTTGTGATGCAGCAGACATCGATAGATGCTAAATATGTTGCCATCTTCGTTTTCGAAGAACACCTTTGTATGACGACTGGCAACGACTTGCAGCTTTCGCTCCTTAGAAAGTTCCTCGCATTCGGTGTCCGAAATGTCAGATTCAATTATCCTCCCACGTCTGTCCGATGTCTTTCTAGATTTATTGCCAGTCGAAGTACCGCTCTTACTTATTGGCTCGTTTTTGGTTGTCTCATTAGATGAGGTCCTAGTCTCCGAAGTACCAGCATCGTCCTCGTCGGACTCTGCCTCGCTACCAGACAGACTAGACATGTCGCCTACAAAATTTGCACATGTCGTACCGCTTTAAGCATCATACATATCGCCGTGTACTTCATCTCAGACTATACCTTCGCCGACCATCCTATTAAAATAGTCCTCGCTAATCGATTTTAAGCCGTTCAGGTGTTGCTTGAGATTATAACGATGCCAATCCAACTTATAGTGAAGTCTCTGTTGTGGCTTGTCCTCAAACTCAGTGTTACATTGAGAACAACACAAGGAATCCGAGACTACCAGTTGACTCAACTCTTGTTCATCGGGTACTGCAAACCAGAAAACTACATGTTGAATGTTGTCAAACACTATTATCAATAACAAGTACAAAGTATCCAAAAATATTAAATATCTAATATTGATTTTTTAATATTCTTTATCTTTCCCAAAGAATTTTCTATATCTTCAATTAACATTGAACAATTAAGTTTTATTTTGATTACAGAGACAAAGTTTATATTCACTAATAAAGGAGAATTTTTATATATTCATATACATTTTAAATTTTGTATTAGTAATATATTCTTGCCATACATCTCCAAAATTATAATAGTATAATTAAATTACATTATAGTAACATATGTTCTTAAAATTCAATTGTAACAAAATGCCAGAATCGCTCTTAAATTTCAAATCAAACAAATATGCTTTCGATATACATTTCTTCAAGCAAATTATTTTCTTCGCCAATAAAATTAATGTGTTCTGATAAGTAATATAATTATTTCTCTCACATTGAGAAGAATAAAAATAATATCAATACTCCTCATATTCATCACATATATGATGATACTTTTATTTCCAATTAAATCTGCTTCCTCTGTTTTGTTTCTCTCTCTCTCGAAAGTCCTCTATCTGTCCTGTTTAAAGTGTGCATAGGCATAAAACCAACACAATCTAACCATCGGAAAAAAATATATGCTAACATAATCGATTAAATTCTTATTTATTCAACGTGAAAACGTCGACGTGTCCACGTAAGCTTCCAAGAGACTAGGCTCACCATAGGGAGACGGCGATTGCATGCATCGAGCAACCTTGATCCCTCTGGTAATACGGCCGAAGTCGTCCGAATTGTGTATCTTAAAGGTTTGATGATCCACCTCCTTCGCAGCCTCCTGCTGACAGAGCGAATTGGTCTCGTTCGCCATGACCTGAGAAGTGCTTGAACAAACGGACGACGACGAACGTGGATGAGGAAAATTGACAACGAATGCTCACTCTCGCGAAAGAGACAAGGAAATACGGTACTGACCGTTTCGCTATCTTGCGCAAGCCTTTCGCGCCGCGGAGCGATTACATCACCCTGCGTGTACTACCATGAAAAATACGTCGACGTCAAGCGGGATATTTAAATGACCTTATTGTCACTCTTATCGATGCACGTGCGTGACATATATTATGAAAAAGAAAATTTGTATATAGATAATTTGCATATTTATTTTAAATACAATTTTCCTTTTAATTTTTCATAGAGAATTTTTGTACAATATAGTTTTGCATGCACTGATGATATTCACATAGTCACAGGAGCTTATATCATTGTATAAGGCGTAGCTTATATTTTATACTAAAAAAATACTTGTAACTTTTCCTATCAACGTTAATGTAAAAAATAATTTTTTTAGTAAACGTTTGTAATACATATTAATGATACTTATACTTATTAATGCGATATGCTAATACTTATAAATGACCTTGTCACTCTTATCGATGCACGTGCATGAAATATATTATGAAAAAGAAACTCTGTGTATAGATAATTTACATATTTATTTTATTTTATAGAGAATTTTTGTACAATGTAGTTTTGCATGTCTGGTGATATTCACAGTCACAGGAGCTTATAAGGCGTAGCTTATATTATATTAAAAAAATACTTTTAACTTTTCTTATCAATATTAATTTAAAAAATAATTTTTTAGTAAACGTTTGTAATACTTATTAATAGGTGGAAGGGAGACAAAGCTTTATTAATAGTTAGAAGTTATAGCTTCAAGCTTCACATGTGCAATGTCAAAGCTGCAATGTGTAAGTCTGCAGTTTTTAATATTTATAAAAAAAAATTAATGTATAAATACATCTTAATGTAACCTAAGCAGCACATTTTTCGTTGCACCATTTCGTGTGACATTCTTATAGCTACCTGATGAGAGATTCCAACTATATTTTAAAGAAACATGAAAACGTCACAAAAGAACAATGCATATTAAATGTATTAAATATAAAATATCACTATTCAAAATGACAAAATGTGTTATCTTTAAGCATGCATAAAATATATATCCTGCATACAATTTTATTTGATAACACTTATAACTAGCTTATCAATAAATATTACTACTTTATTAGATAATCAATCAGTCTTAACATAGTAACTGTTTAAAATTTGGAAGTATGGAACAATGGACTGTTTTGTACTTTGATATTTTTGGTTGTTATATGTAAATCATGCAATTGCAGCTGATTCAATACTTTTTACACAATTATATCATTAGTGCAATTATTAGGGGAAAATTATTAGCAATCGAGGTTATCTTTGTATATTAGTAAATTATTTAGTATAAATTCTTCATATTTCGAAAATGCTGATGCTTTTCTATCTACTTTCCATTTTTCATTTGTGTTCAAATGGAAAGATTATTTTCTACAACATTATTATAACGTAATGTTACAATATGTTAATAAATATTACACAAGACACTAAGGCTCCCTATTGTTGGTATCTATTCTTTCATAGATCCATAATCTTCCATATATTGTAAATATGAGTCACCAATAAATAAATTGTTTTCAATAAATAAGTAATAAATAATTCAGATCAAATAATATTAAGTAGACCAAAAAATAGGACCTTCTTCCCAAAATTAGTGACATTTCCATCATGTATTAAAGACACATGTAGATAAAAAATAATATTCCATTTAATGCCCCAACGAAATAGTTTATCTGTATCCTTGACTCCTTGTATATCCTAAAATAGATATGTGTTGAAATGTTTAATGTATGTTTAACAATATTTAAGATATGAAAATTATATCTACAATAATTTCTAAAATAGTATTTGTCACTTGTATGCTTTAAAGAATAAAAGACAATAATTCCAGATATATATATAATGACACTAATAATATTTTAAATATGTTTCTCAGTTATATCCTCATTTCTACATTTAGTTTGCAAATATTCTCTTATTTTTTCAATCGAAATTATGCAATCATAACTAAATAAAATTTGAGCCTTACCTCTGTCTGGAAGGACTAAAGGGAGCCGGTGGATTGATACCGGGGATGCTGCTGTCCTTGTAAAGGATGAACCAAGTGAAACTTGTTATCATAAGTCCACTCATCGCCGCTTTCAGCAGCCAATCGTATTTTTCGTAAAAAGCGACGAGCATGTTACTAGCTGCTTCCGCATATTGATGACTGGTGTTGAAGAATCTCTCGCTGTCCGCTGGGAATCGTTTTATGTCGAATTTCGGTAAAACGGACATATTTGGTATCGTATTGTACACTTGAGCGAACGTTGTTATTGGCGATAACGAGTATCGATCGCCGATTTCCCATGACAAACACTTTCCTACAGGCAAAGTATGAGAAACTCGCATTAGCCACTTCAGTCGTAGCTAATCCTTCTTATTTCGTTCTAACAAATCAAGTCTACTAAATTACAGGAAAAGACAAAAATATTTGCTTTATAAATAACACAGAGAATTATGATTCTAGAAGCTACACTCTTAAAAATAATTTTCTAAATAAAGTAGTGATAGATTTAAGCGGGGAAAAATTAAAAAAATAAAACAAACAAAAGAAGAAATTTTTTTTTTTGTTTCGCTTTTATTGTCTCTCGATTGCGACAAAAAACGTAACTAGGTGTGTACTTTTTCGAGCGATGACGCAGCCTCGATAAACTCGGTCATGGGCGATGCAGATTTTTGCGTACAAACGCGCGAAGAAATCTCGAGAGAAGGAATAAAGACTCGCGTAGCTCGGCCTAAAGATGTATCTTATGAAGATAAACAGATCGCGTGTAAAAATATAACTCACGAATGCATGCTATGCGCGAACCACGAGTATTTAAACTCTGAAATGAGACACGAAAAAAAATAATCAGTTTCTTTCTCTCTCTCACTCACTTTTATGTATGTTTTATCACATAGAATAAATCAGCAATATTAAAACTTTTTTATGTAAAATGTGTGTTAGACATTGAACATTAGAAATATAAAGGTTATAAGTATGAAGGCATGAATTTTTATGAGGAAGAATGTTGAGTCATTTATTGAGTTCTGGAAATAGCAACAGAAATTATGTAATTTTCATGTTGATTTCCTAAGAACAAAATGAAACATTGACGCATAAATTATAAATAACATTAATAAAATAAATTTAAATAATAAATAAATTATATATATATATAATATTTACATAATATAATAAGATTTATACTAAAGTATTTAAAATAAATATATGATAAAACAAATATATGGTGCGGGAGGGTTTTACATATATATATATTTTTTAGGGTGCAAATAAGCTTTGATATTATATGAAGCATTAGTAATTAATATTACCATTGAGAAAAATGCAGATTTATTGATGACAAATATTAATTAAAACACAAAACAGTTTGTAAAGATTGCTTTTTGACAAACTATTGTAAATCTATTAGAAATCTAGTAAATCTATTAGATGTGATTTTTCCAGCTACAAATTTTTATTCAATTTTTTTCATGCAGATGAAATAATGGCATGTTCAATAAGTATCAGAGAGAAAGAAGAAAACAAAAGTAGAAAGCGTAACTGAAAAAAACATCTAATAATACAAACATAAGAAACATAAAGTAATGAACTAATTTTCGACAAAAAATTTATACACTTTAAATGAAAATATTTATGCAATAAATATTAATAATTAATAGCATAAATATATAATTTACTTTTTTTAAATTAAGACAAAATTATACAATTAGATAAGAGAAATTTTAAGTACATTTACGACGTCATATATATTTTTTTCATAGAGATAATCCGCATCGTCGACACAATCTCGCCTCCAATTCGACCAAAACAAAATATTGCGCATTTGATAAATGAATCGCGAAGATAGGTGTAACCTATCAGCGATATCAATCTATCGTTCGCGCGATAACGAGATTTGCTTCTTGTGGAAATGATTTGTCAGATCGCTAGAAACAAAATCAAAACAAAAAAAAAGCATACGTTTAATAATCCCATTCTAACCTCTATACGGATTCCGCAACGAACGATTTGCACATCGTCCACAAAATTTTGAATAAATACTTCCTTCTTCTTTAAGAATTCCAAAATGAAATGGAAAGCGAGCGAATGATTTGCTATCGTTTTTACTTACCGTAATTAGCGATCAATTTTCCTAGGACGATGGAGAGCGACAGGGCTAGGAGTGACAGGCTGAAGGTCCACTCGTTTAGACGGATCATCGTCCAAAATCTCGCCGGTTTGTCTTTCCGAATGTCTTCGACGAGGTTACCGTTGCCGTTCGTCAGCAACGTCGAGTCGTCGCTCTTCAACATCGTCGTAATCATCGTTGCTCGTCGGTTTCGACGCGCGGGACAAACACCGCTACCGCATCAGCGCGAGATCCGCGAATGACAAATCGTGACGCTTCCAAAAATAAAAGGTGAATAAGCCGCGACGTGCGCGCGAGTGCGCATGCGCGGCCCATTTCTTCCGCGTGTCAGGAATGTACGCAATTACGGGGTCGTTCTATTGTAAACAAAAGGCATTGTTTCTTTGGAAAAACAATAACAGATGGAATTTTGACGCGAAAACACATGATTACAAGAGTTTCGTTCTTATTCTCTATAATGGCATATTTGTGTGAACAAAATATGTGAAATATTATCATTATTCTAATGTGATAAATGTAAAAGTTGCATTGGGAGAGATATATTAATGAATGTCATTTTTAATAGCTTTTTAAATTAATATTCTCTCATGTTTCTCATAATTTATCATTTATTTTTTAATTATCCGATTTAATGTAATAATTTAAAGTGATTTTATTTATAAACTGTCACCAATGTTAATAACATGTCTATTGTTAGAAAGGGATAACACGCATTTTTTAAAATCCTAAAAATAAAAGAAAGGCAGGGGATAATTTTAATTAAAACAAAATATTTGCATGAAAATATATGAAATATTATTCTAATATGATAAATACAAAGGTTGCATTGGGAGAGATATTAATTGATTTAATTTTTGATAGCTTTCTAAATTAATTCTCACTCATAATTTGTCATAATACTTTTTAATAATTATCCGATTTAATGTAATAATTTAAAGTAATTTTATTTATGAACTGTCCACAATGTTAATAACATCTATTTTTAGAAAGGATAACACATTCTTTAAAATCTTAAAATAAAAGAAAGAGTATAATTTTAATTTAAAAAAAATTAAAAAGAAAAATCGATTAAACCGGTGAACCGAATAATTGTGCACGGCACTGGACACGAACGATCATCGACCAATCGAAGCGGTAGGTCTGAAGATGACCGCATTCGCCGCGCGAGATAGTCGAGTCGAGATCACGAAGTTGGCCGATGGTGGAGCGAGCGCGCGCGCGCGGCGAGGCGAGGTACCGCCAATCAGCCAAGCGTCCGTCAGTGCGCGCGGGTCGGTCGCGCGCGGTGGTTAGTCGCGTCTTTGTAACAGTGTGAGTCTGTCGCGAGCGTCGCGCGTGCATCGTGAGGCAGAGCGAGATGGCGAGCCACGACGACGTCGGCGTCGGCGACTTCGTGCTACTGGACGAGATCACGATCGAGCGCGTAGTGGAGAATCTTAAGGCCAGGTACGTGCTAAACGATCGTCGCCGAGGATGCCGTGCCGGCGAGGAAATTCGCGCGGACGCGAGCTTGACAGCTGAAGTCGGCGAGGGGAGCGTCGTCGCGCAGACGCACGCGTTTTCCCTTCACCGACGACCCGGAGGACGGTTCGCCGCGGCACCCGCGAGAGGGTGTGGCCTGCGTGTGTCAGCAGGTGCTAGGATTAGGACTCGAGGTTTTAATTTTTAAAGACTGTGTGAATATTAACATTAACGACGATCGATTTTTCTTTGAAAAAAATGGCGGTAACCCTTCTGTCAATGGATGATCTTGCACTTTTTCATTAATGTATGGGTACCTGGGGTATCAACTGTTTGTTTTCGACACATTGTACATTTATTTATGGCTGAGTATTTTTTCCTCGTTATATTTGAAAAGATTTCTGAATATAAAGGCTCTCTGTATTTTATTCAATATATTAATATTAATTTTATTTTATTCAATATATTAATATTAATTTTATTTTATTCAATATATTAATATTAATTTTATTTTATTCAATATATTTGATTTAATTTTTTATTCAATATATAATTAATATTTGAAGTTATTTTGGATACCTGTTTATTTGACAGAAGAGTTAAAAGAGGTAAAGATTGATTATATATACGCCGATTAATTTTATCTTATGTCAATGAGATGAGAAATAGAAAATATGTGTGAAAAATGTGTAGAGTTGTATCTGGAATGACTTCACAGAGAGATAAGAGAAAGGGAAATGAAGTAATACGCATTGTTTCCGTTCCACTGTCATTCTCTTTCTTATCTATTCACGTACTTTAAAGCTGTGTTCATAATGTATGTCGAACTTGACCTGCTAAAAGGAAGACGTCCAAGGAGACATCCGAGATCCACTGGATAGCCTTGGTCGATTAATTTTAGTCAACGATAGTTTTTTTATACGAGGATCAGATTGTGAGGTTCGTGTTTTTCTTTGAGCAGCAAAAAATGCGGCGAAAATATGCGAAACTTCTCGCTACGTTAGAAGCATTTATTTTATATCATACATTTATAATTTTCTTTGTCATTAGATTGTTATAAAATTTAAATTATTACCTTTTATACTTCAGTATCTTTATTAGGATTCGATAGTTTGCTAAGTTAATAAAATTATTCTATTTAAGGAAAATCTATTTAAGAAAATAATTAAAAATTTGATGCAAATGATAATTTTCATCTGATTATTTTTTTTTTGCAGATTCAGTGTTCATGCATTTATTTTTATATAATTGATAATTTTAATAACTGTAATTTCCGTCAGTTTTGTAGAACAGTTACGCGAGTTGATGCTAATTACAGTTAACTTTCTATATTACATACTTTTTCATATACATTACAGGCGGGTTGTAATTTGAAAATAGAATACCGAGTGCAATAGACATTTGCAATCGGATTTTAGATGACAGCAGTAAAGAGCGATTACATCGACGCTAACTAGCGTTAATTATAGTTAACAGTTAATTCTTCGTCTTTCACAGACGAAATTGCAATTTAAAATAAAACAGCAGCACGTTGAATTAAATATAGAATACAGAATTAAACTATTATGAACCATACCATATAATCGAGTTAAATATCACTAATAATATCTATCTTGCAAAAGTATTATTTTTCTTTTAATTATTGAAAAATTAATACAAGACTTGATTATATATGGATATTTAAATCTTATTAAAATATTGTACTAAGAATTAAATTTTCGAAATCTTATTTTAATATTTATTAAAATATTTAATATCTACTAAAATAAGCATCTATTTTAATATTTATTTTAAAATATTTTGCTTAAGTTAAATCTTATATAAATTACAATCGTTATTCCGTATGTAATTTTGTTTAATCATAACTTTTCACATAAATATCCTTGCTATTTTATATGGTATAATTAAATTAGCTGATTCGCGTTTCTAAAAACATGCGTAATTGACGCGCGATAAACGGTATACAGGATACGAATTAAAAAAATAGTAGCTCGCTGTAGTAAAAAAAAATACGTCAGGGAAATCATTCTGATTCATCTGACCTATACTCGCGTTTACATTGTGAATCGCGGAATTGAATACTCTCGCATTTTACGAACTGACGTTACCTGTTGCATACGCTAATTACGCGGGTGTGTGCGCGGGCGCATCGTTTTATGTTTTATATATGCGGTCAAAAAACATGTGTATACTTTCACACGCGACGTGTGCATTTGCCAAGTTGCATCAGAGACACAATGTAGTAACGTAATAATAATAATAGCATAATTGAAGATAAAACGCAGACATGCGTGACACACATAGTATGTGTCACCCTAAATATATAACGCAAAGAGAATTTATTCTGAAAATCATGATATTCGTATATGGGAAGAACTTTATAAAAGTTTTTCTGATTAATATTTTTACTACAATAAAAAATATTAATATAAGTATAAGCATTGAACATCGTTAAACACGAAAAGCATTGAACAAAACTAATAAAACAAATGAGGAAAATTATTTCAATATTTTAATGCCTAGATAAGATATCTTTGCTTTAATGGCTGAATTTTCCTCGGTTTATTAGAGACTTTTTACAAATTATATTGTAAAAATACAGTAAACATTACAACTATCACAATCTAAAATATATGTTCAGTTAATTTTATTATATATACATAGTAAAATTTGCTATGTACACATTAATATTTTTTATTGTGGTAAATATTTAATCAGAAAAACTCTTATCGCACATTCTTCGAATATCATATAGTCCCACTATTATCCTGATTTTCAGGATAAATTCTAAGAGAAAATTCTTTTCGTGTATAATCTCATGATTTACAAGATTTTTTTTACAGAGAGGAATATAGAAAAAATTCTGCATAAAATCACAAAATTATAGATAATGTATTAGATATTTAAATATTATTTTATAAAAGAGTCGCAAGCTAATATGTTGAAAGAATAGAAAGAAAAGTATGCGAAAAAATATTGCTGAAAATTACATTTTATTTCTAATATTTTGTAAAAATATTATGTGCATTAAATTGGCATTTGACGATAGCGGTTGAAGTTTAACGATGCACGGGCGTGACGCATTTCTTGGAAGATATATGTACTATATATGTATATTTATGAGTGAAGATGAATGACGCGCTCTGATTCATCGTGCAAACTGAAATTACACCAGATGCAACACGCAAAATCATTAGATTGAATAGATCATTAGATTAAATTAAATTGAGTACAAAAGGAGCAATCAATTAGATAAAAATACCTAATGGGATTGGGAACCAATTGCTAAGGATATCGATTAGACAGGTGTGAAGTATAGATTAGAAATTCTTTAATCGACTATTTAAAAATATTTTTATAATATTTAAAATGTAAAATATTTAATTTTAAGAACCATATAGGCGATTGAAGATTTAAATGAGAGAGATCGAAATTTATTTAAGTATAAAATATATATATATATAAATTATAAATATTAGCTATAAAGAGTGATCTTTAGACAACAAAATGCAAATGCGAACAAAATGAAAATTTTTAGTTTTCCCCAAATTAAACGAATTACTTACTTGAATTAATCTATCGCAACATAATCTGGCTATAAAATACTTCCTGATAAAACTATCTCGTATCATCTTTTATAGTTTAAGTTCATGTTATTATAGTTTCGAAGAATTCAAATACACATTGTCATTTCCGAACTAGATTTCAAACGAGTTCGTCTAGAATTTTTTCCACGCTTCAATGAAACTATTAACATTATTTGGACCATTCTACAACTTTCACGAAAAAAATGCACTTAAAATATAAAGTTCTTGCTTCTATTTAGCGATAAAAATATCCGATAGTAAAATATATATATCTTTAACAAGAAATACTTCTTTTCATAAATAGGAATAACATTTATAAAAATAATTATTACCTTATAACGGTTATTAATAAAAACGGTTATCAAAAAGAAATATCTTCTTAATTAAAAATAATTGCATTATGATAAAAAATAATTGGTTATATATATTATATATAATATGCAATAATAATATACAATTTTTTACATAAATACAATTTGATGTATAAATCAATTACTGTGTATCTCGCAACAATTCGAATGTAAGTTCGAAGTTTTATTTCTACCGGTTTGTGTCGTATTATTTCGGCCAACGTTTTGCTTTAAATATCGTCTCCGACGCCAACGCAAAACGAGTCGAGACGAGATGAGACGAGAGACGAGGCGAGTGCGTTTAGCGGTAAATGCTCGATGAGAATGGTGAGCGTTCAAAGTGAACGTTGTATCCTAGGATACGCGCGATGAATATATATGTATATATACGGTTCGCGTAATCCTTATCGAGACTCGTGTTAGCGATGAGTCATCACCCTCGAATCCGTGCATACCGGATTGCGCGAACGTAATTCTCGTGAGATTCGGGCATTAGCTGATGGATAATTAATTACCAAGTAATTATCACGCACGTTAAAAATGAATAATATGGGAGAAATCCATTTTTTTATGATTACAGAATAGAATTATTTTTATTATTTTATTTATCTTCCAAAATAGAATTATTAATTTAGGCTCTTTCGAGAGAGAATATTGTTTTATAATTAATACTACTGTATAATTCGCTAATTTTGAATTAAAATGATTCGTTTAAAATGAATTAAAGAATAGAATTATTTCTATTTTATTTCTTCAATTTCAAAGATCTTCAAGAATAGAATTATTAATCCAGAACTTTTTGAGAAAATATTGTTATATAATTAATTTTATGTACTAAATGATTTAAAAAGAATAAAATGAGAGAAATATATCGCAAACTCAATTTTTAATGATTAAAGAATAAAATAATTTTTATTATTTATTCATTTATCTTAAAAAATAGAATTAATTCAGAATTTTTCGAGAGAAAATACTGTCCTATAATTAATATTATTACTGTCTATAATAATTTATTTAAAATGACAGTTTCTTTTCAGCCAGTTTCTTATTTGACTCGTTAAAGTTTAGCAGATTTTTTAAATTGAATGTGAAAATTAAGAGGAGAGCGAAAAATATCTCGAATATGTTGAATATAATATTGATTTGCAAACTTTACACATTGCTGGAAGTGCAATTATTTGCATTAGCACGAGTACGTAATGTCGTCGAAGTAAGGACAAATGACTCATTACGCTTCGGTAATCTTACATTCAATCTTGTATGTCTGAGCGATAATTCTTATCTTTTGTTGAAGGATAAAATATATCAATTTATAGTTTTTACAAAATGTAAAACTTGAGAAACTATTTCTTAATCAATCTCCTTAATCAAGGTGCTTGCTTGAGTCATACAAAATATTGTTTTAGTATCTTGAAACTTAGAAAAAAATTTGATTTTAATAAATCAAATTTATTCATAGAATGCACTTTCTATTTTATTTTGATAAATGTTTTCTCTACATATTCTCTATTAATGTTCTGTTGCAGATTTAATGCTGGGAAGATTTACACGTACATCGGCGAAGTATGCGTTAGCGTGAATCCTTACAGAAGCACCAACATCTACGATGCGGATCAAATTAATAAATACAAAGGTACCCGCAAATAAACTTATATAGAAGGGAGAGGGAAGAGAGAGGATATTAAAAATGTTACATTAGAAAAAATATTTAGCTTATATATGCGATTGTTAAAAATGTTTAACACGTATAAGTTTTCTGAGTAATTTTTGTTTAATTTTATGATTTATTTAATTTTATATATTATATTATATATTATTTATTATATATTATATTTTTATTTATATATTATATTATATTTTTATTATTTAATTTAAAATTTTATTTGTTTGAAGATTTATTTTAATTAAAAAAATTACTTTTATATAGGTAGAGAACTATTCGAGAATCCCCCGCATATCTTTGCGATTGCGGATGCGGTGCACAAAGAGATGAAGCAACAAGGCAGAGACACGTGTATAGTGATAAGCGGCGAGTCGGGTTCCGGTAAAACGGAAGCTAGCAAAATCATCATGAAGTACATCGCCGCCGTGACAAATCTAAGCGGTCAACAAGAAATCGAGAGGTATAAATTAAATTTCCCTTTAAAAGCGAATAGGCAATTTACTATCACTTCTCGCTATCTAATCTTGTGTGAATCTTGAACGATAAGATTAAATATCTTGCATTTTTACAAACGATCGTAGAGGATTTGATTGTATAAGATGCTTGACGTAAGTTTCCATCAAAAATATTTTTGTTTCGTAATTAAACATATTTTTTTTCAACAGGGTAAAAAATATTCTCATTCAATCCAATTCGATATTGGAAGCGTTTGGCAATGCCAAGACGAAGAGGAACGACAACTCGTCACGATTCGGGAAGTACATGGACATCAATTTCGATTTCAAGGGAGACCCCGTGGGCGGTCACGTGACCAATTATCTCCTGGAAAAATCGCGGGTGGTCTATCAACAAAAGGGAGAACGCAACTTTCATTGCTTCTATCAGGTATTGTCTCAGTTGCGTAATTTTTATCGCACGATTAGAAACTAAAATTATTAATTTATCGTGAAAATAATACTGTCAGGAGTTAAAGAAATACGCTTGATTTTTAGTTACTAAATGGCTGCAGCGAGACTGAATTAAACAAGCTACGTTTAGTTCGCGATCCGGCTGCTTATTACTTTGTCGGCAACGGGAGCAATAATAAAACAGCCATCTCTGACAGAAGCGACTATAAAACGGTTTGCACTGCCATGTCCCTCCTCGGATTCTCTCCAAATGAGATGCAGACTGTGTGGAATATCGTTGCTGGTATCCTACATTTGGTGAGTAGAATCAACATGAGCGCTGATGATAAAACTATTTTTTTCCACCGCTTATATTTTTCTTACCGAAAATTATGTTGGTTTCGCTTACTGTTTTTTTAATTATTTTTCAGGGTAACGTCACCTTCAGATTGGACGATGATAAGCTTATAATTGAAAATAACAGCGCTTTAAATGACACCGCCAACTTGTTCTCCATAAGCTCGAAAGAACTGAGCACTGCTCTTTCGCAGAGAGTCATAGCTGCGGGTGGAGAGGTCATGCAGAAGACTCACACTTTAATAGAAGCTGAATATGGCCGAGATGCTCTGGCAAAGGTATAGTCTATGCGCATACATTTTTTTTACAGAATCTTGAATTTATTATATATTGAGAGAAATAATCTTTATATATCTTAATATTGTTATCAATTTTTCAGGCTATATACGAGCGATTGTTTACGTGGATAGTGTCGCGAGTCAATGATTCGATCAACGTGAATGACAACGACAAAATAAAGAGATACGGAACGCTGATCGGCGTACTCGACATCTATGGTTTCGAAATCTTCGACATGAATAGTTTTGAGCAGTTTTGCATCAATTATTGCAACGAAAAATTGCAACAGCTTTTCATCGGTAAGCATAACGCTATATACATATGTGAAAACACTTTGAGAAACTAAGAATTATAAGATTATTTCGATTGTGATTAGTAACATTTTTATCATAGAATTGGTGCTGAAACAAGAACAAGAGGAGTATCAAAGGGAAGGGATTGCTTGGCAAAACATTGAATACTTCAACAACCAGATTATCTGCGATTTAGTTGAGCAATCTCATAAGGGAATTATAGCGATCATGGATGAAGCTTGTCTTAATGTCGGGAAAGTCACTGACGAGGTAGTTGATTAACTTGCGTTAATTAAGAAGTTATCGTCAGAATTAAAACAAAAATACTTTATTTTCTAGTTACTTCTCAATGCAATGGATAAAAACTAGCAGATCATAAACACTACAGCTCTCGACAATTAAAACCAATGGATAAAGAATTGGAACACAGAACACAGTTCAAGATCAAACATTATGCCGGTGATGTGGTTTACAATATCAACGGCTTCCTCGACAAAAACAAAGATACGCTCTTCCAAGACTTCAAACGCTTACTCTATAAAAGCAATAATTCCACAATTAGTAAAATGTGGCCTGAAGGTGCCCAAAATATTTTGAAGGTAGATGATCATGCATATGTTTACCACTAAATGTAGCTAAATTAATTTTATTTATATGAAATTCAAAAGTATAGTATTTAACTATTATCATTAATTCAGTCCATTATCGATTATTTTAGACAACGAAAAGACCTTTAACTGCTGGCACAATGTTCCGCAATTCCATGATCGCATTAGTGAAGAATTTAGCGAGTAAGGAACCGTTTTATGTCAGGTGTATAAAACCTAATGAAGTAAAGTCTCCTGTCGTGTTTGATGATGAGAGAGTGAACCATCAAGTGAGATATTTGGGACTTTTAGAGAACATATTGGTGAGACGAGCTGGTTTTGTATATAGACAACGATACGACAGATTCCTGAAAAGGTATTTAATAATAAAACTAAATATTATTTACATAATTGTTCTAATTAATATATAAGAATTAATTTCTAAATTGTAAACGCAAAGTTATAACTCATATTAAATTAAAACAAATTTGATTTTTCGTTGCCAGATATAAAATGATATCACAATACACATGGCCAAATTTCCGAGGTGGCAGCGACAAAGACGGTGTACGAACATTGATGGAAGAGAAGAATTTTTCAAACGACGTTAAATATGGTCACACGAAGATATTTATTCGCTCGCCGCAAACTCTATTTGCATTAGAAAAAGTTAGTCGATATATATAAATGATCTAATCTAATTTTAAGTATATGTTATGACAATCTGTATTCGTATTAGATATTGATTTATTCACAGATTGATATTATACCTAGATTAATTTATTCATAGGCTCGCAGCGATTTAATACCGGGTATCGTGATTCTCCTGCAAAAGCAATGGCGAGGATACCTGTGTCGTCAAAGGTACAAGAAGATGAAGGCCGCGTTAATTCTGATGGAGCACTATAGAAGATACAAACAACGTATTTATATCAACGAGCTCGAGCGAACATTCAAAAATGCCAAAAAGATGCAGAAATATGGCAAGCGTTTGCTGTGGCCGCGCGAAAATTTCGCTGTAAGACATGTGGTGCCCGCCTTAAAGAACATGTATGCGAGATGGTGGGCGTGGATGGTGCTCAGAATGATTCCTCGGGAAGATTGGCCACAACTACGATTGAAGGCAAGTTTTTACTCTCTGCTCTTTTTTTATTATTTCAGAAAACTAATAAAAATTATCATTCGTCAATTGTAAGATAAAATATAATTTTTAATCTGTTCATATATTATATAAATATTTATTAATCTGTATCATATATTATATAAATAATATCATAAAAATTATATAAATATAAATTTAATTAATTTACCTATTAAATCAAGACTAACATTAATATCACTATTAGATGGCAGCGGGTGCCGTGTTACGTTCCAAGAGATCTTATTGGGGTCAGGACCGTCGTTGGGAAGGAAACTATTTATCCAAACCGGATGAAAACCCTCAAAGCGATATCTTCAATTCCTCGATAAACAATCTTCGAAACACCGATCACTTCAAGACTGTCTTGTTCAGCGCATTTATTAAAAAAACCAACAGGTTTTTTTCATTTTGCCAATGTTATCTAATGTAACTTGTGTACAATGTAGTAATTTGACAATTTATGCAGGTTTAATAAGCCAGCGGATCGCGTACTGGTGGTGACGGAACATGCCGTGTACAAGCTGGACGACGTGAGATTTAAAAGCATGAAAAAAGGCATGCCAATTGCGGAAATAACCGGTCTCAGCGTCTCGCCCGGAAAGGATCAGTTTATCACGATACATTCGAATCGTGGAAACGATTTTATTCTTTCCATCACTGCCAAAGATGACAGGATTGGAGAACTAGTCGGCGTATTGAGTAACCGATACTACCAGTAAGATGTCCTTTGAAAGTATTTCAAAGAAAATATTTCTCAAACATTTATCAAATATATCTGAATGCATTGTTTTCATAATTCATGTATTGAAAGTATTTAAAAATTGTAAATTAAAAAAAATTAATGTAATTTTAAACGAATTTATATCTTTGAATTACAATCTTATTTTAAAGAATAATAATAAATTTTTTTTACAGATTGCGTGGCGCCGATCTACACGTAACAGTGGATATGAAATTTAAGTGCATGCTAGGCAATAAGAGCAGATTGTTACGCATCGAGGTGATGCCTGACGTGAACGAGCCTACATTCAGGAAAGACGGCAATCAAATTATTTTTGCCATTCCACCATCAGTGAGCATCATCGACGGTGGCAATAATACTAGACAACAAATTCGCACGGCCAGTTAAAATCTGACAAGCTATTCGAGGCTGTACTATTTGTATCGAATATATTTTGTAATAATATGTATAGGTCGTAAACATGTTGCACGCCATAACGATACTATTGTTGAAGTCATTTAACGATTTCGTGAGACATCAGATTTCGCGTTTGAAAGTTTTCCCAGTTAAATCAATTGTTCCGCAATGCATTTTTATGCAATATTAATATTAATCATATTATGATGCATAGTAAGTGCGATGCAATTTTTCTATGATAAAATTTAATTGGAAGTCCGATCAATGTTTGCGTTTATTACGTAATCAATTTAAATTAAATATGATGTATCGAGTAATTCTTGTTGCATCCTAATTGTACATATATTACATTGATCGGAAATTCAAATAAGTTTTTCTTTTTTAGAAGATTAGGCAGGCGTTAAATAATCATGGCAGGATATATATAACTATGTTTTATCAAAAATATTAATTTTCCTCTAATATCTAATAATATAATATTATATTATAATATAATAGATAATAATATATGTAACGATATTTGCTCTATCCGTTTTTTTCAAAATTTCAGTGGTAATGAAAATTTAACGAAATATTAATATTTTCTGAAATTAAACGCTATAAAAAATAAAAATCTTACCTACCGCTGTGCCTGTATAATAAATATGTGCTTATATCCAGAATATGCAAAAAAAAATATTCACATTGCAGTACTTATGCGACATATATGCAAGTCACTTTGAGCATACCATAAATTTTATGAACATCGTTATATTCCATCAAATGTTGCGTATACAGGATGCATTTTTTTCTGTAAATATTTAGTATTATAAATATTAGCTTATAACCGTGTAAGGACGAAATGTGAATCTACGAAAGTGAATTTCACCGGAGTATAATAGTGAATGCATAATTTATATATATTTTATAAATTACCTATGGAATTTTTATTTTCCACAAAAGAAAATTCTATCGATGTTACGATGATTATATAGAAAAATATTTCATTAACTCCGACGTATTATAAGCGTGGCCTTCTACTTATAATTAATATCAGAAATAAATCAGAATATTTCATTTTTTAAAACTTTTACACATAAATATATAAAATATATTGAAAGCAGAATGAGACAAGAGCAATATATACAAATTTATACCACACATAGTGCCTGTCAATTCAACACAAAGTATAACAAGAATTAAATTTATTATTTTCCAAAAAATTTTGCATTCTTCCATGTACTTAGATTAAGAAGACTTAAGAAATGTAGGAATATATATATATATATAAATACGTATATAATTAATCAAAATATATATATTATTTTATGATTGTTCGATTTAGTATGTAAAAAAAAATTATTGTACATTGTCATCAATGTCATTAATCTGGTACTTATGCATTTATGAAGTATTTGTTAGAAACAAAATAGTCTGCTTGATTTTTTTTTTAGTTTACATTTCTATATTTATAGAAAAACAATTGTTATTTTGATTGGTATAATTGTGATCACAAAGCGCTCTAGAGCATTTTTGAAGAATTTGCGAAAATCGTGCCATTGTTAGAAAATAAAGTGAATTTTCATCTTGTCTTATTTGTTTGTTATATTCCTAGTATTATACAATGAAAACAAAACTGGTTATCAATTACGCACTTTCATTACATTCAATATATACATAATATAAAGAACATTTGTATCATTTTTTTATTGTTGAAAAAAGCAATATCTTTATACAAAAGAACACATTACACTAGTCAATCCGTTGATACATGTATATGTATCCTAATTCTTTCGGTGGGTTTTCAGATAAAGCGACCTGTAAGAATAAATTTGTGTAAAGAGAGAAACGAGTTTTTAAATATATGTATATAATCACATAAAGATCTTTAAAAAAAAGTATCTAAAAATAATAGTGTCATACTTTTTCATCGTTAAATATCACCCATCGGTATCTTCCAGCATCATCTTTCTTCAATAAATGACAAACATAATGGCCTACCATCGTTGATGTGCCCATATGTGATATAAAACCCACTAGTTTGTATCCTAAAACATAAAAAAGCATACAAAAAATATTTTAATCAACTAATCTCAATACTGAATAAGTCTAACTTTGTAAATCTCATTAAAAAGTTACTTGATTAATTAATCTTTGATATAATTTTTTTTCTTATATAATATTCCTTATCTACAATTTATTTTATCAATCTGTATATTGTGTGTGATACATTTAATTACATCTATATTATTTTTAAGCGATATATTTTCTTTTATAGTTTGAGAAAATAATTAAAATTGACTCACGATTGCTTCCATCTCTAAAGTTCTCTTGTTTTGGCGTCGCAGCACCTTCCATTTCCTGAGCCTCGAGTTCAGCCTGATGACTGAAAACCCAATCAGCCGCACGCTCCAAATTATTATTGGTCGCCTTGAGCGCTTTTGTCGCTTGTTCCGGTGTAAAGCCTAGAGCTGTTACCATCTCCAAAGCAGCTTGATCCACGACAAATGTATCTTCTTCTGAAATTAATCAATAATTAGTAGTTCAAGAAAATTGATCAATTAATTACAGCTACGATTGGACGTTTGAACTAATCCTTACCTGGCTTAGGGTCGACTCCCGGTGGCACGAACAGCTCGTCGAAATCGGAATCTGCAATATGTTCCATCACCCAATTGGTCGCAGCCTCAAGACTGCGATTCTCAGTGAAGTACAAGGCCCGCTTGCACGCATTTGGTGGGAAACCCATGTCCGTCAGTTGATCGAGGAGAGTCGCATCGTAAACAGGCGGGGGTGGTGTCACGCCATCCGGCAATAATTCCTCACCGGGTTGCAAGCCACTTCCGCGCAAGAAGCTCAAATCTACCGTGTCCGGCATCTCTACCGCAACGTCTAGCTTGATGGGAGTCCAATCCTCCTTTACCGTGAATTTCTTCAGATGAATTAATAAATAATCCGGAAAGCTAGCTAATCTGGTGGTTCTACAAAAGAGATATTATAAGAGATTAGACGTAATAAAATTAAATCAGTCGCTTTTTCTGCGATTTACAACCAGATAATCAAATGTTTAATGCTTACTTATGCGCTATCGTCTTCTCATTCAAAGCCGAACTATAAAATTGTTCCACAATTTCCGAGCGACTGAAGCTTTCGAGGCATGACAACAATTTTATACGGGGTCTTACAAGAGTATTAGAGTCTAACTTTTGTCCTTTTGCTTCAGCTTCCTTCTTCTGGGTCTCGTAAGCAGTCACTTCGTCCTTATATAATATATTGGCTTGGTTACTTTTTAATAAAAAAAGACCTCAATTTTCAAGAACATAATCAAAAGAATATGTACCTTGTTCACTGCGAGCTCCAATGGTATTGGTAGCGGAAGGATATATTCCGGCCGATGGGTATATTTGACTTTGTGAGATCTGCTACATTGAAATCTCTCCTCCACTTTAAATTTAAAGCATTCCGTGGGACAGACCTCGTGTCGACTGTTGCGCTGTTCGATCAATTTGTCGATTAGAATTTCGACGAATATTTAATAATTAGGTTCGATAGTTACATGAAAAATTCGATTAAAATCCAAAAGCTATAAAGAGCGATATTAATAATTACGTTGAGTAAGTTAATCAGGTAAAGAAGGAATTCCTGAGCGTCCTGTTGCCGATTCGAGAAGAAGCCGGGATGACCTCGACCAATCAAGACCTTAAACATACGCGGGGGAATACCTTGCTGCGGCTCATCACTCGAGTCTGGTGGCTCTGAGTATTTGCCAGAGAGCAAGCCGAAGCCCAGTTTCGCCCTAGAAAAATGGCAATTCCTCGAATTATACTTTGGACAGTCGCCAAAATTCTTTCATCGAGAACTACCGTAACTCACATCTGAACATTAACGTCTGCAGCTGGATCGTGCCAATTTTGCTGGAATATCTGTAGCGACTTCCTCTCATATCTGAAATTTACAACGTCAATTTTAATATTTCTTTTATCAAATAAAAACTCTATATAAAAAACTCCACCATTCATTTCGCAATTGATCGTAATAAAAATAATCATATAAAAGAAAAAATCGTACAAAAATTGTATGTACCTTTCGATAAAATCAGGAATAATATATAACATTTGCATAACGCTATTCAGGTAACAAGAATTTCCCAGATTAATTAGTCCGGTGTAGCCGGGGCCATATAACGGTGTAAGCTTGGTGTAACTTTCCTGAAGGGACACCCACTCGCCAAACTTCTGATTGAGATCTAATTCCAGCTCAATCATCGACTTGTCCGTCTTCTCCATCTGCGCAATATTAATACCCCAATGTGACAGATGAGCTGTCAAATTCGGATCGTCTACCATGTCGTCCTCGTCGTACGAGAATACGTCGGCCTTGCCGCCCTTCGTGATCGTTCCTAGTTTTACGGCCAGCGGATAACCGGTTACATGATAATGCTCGATCGCGTGGCCATTACCGCCGCTTCCGTCGTAGAACTTGCGTCCGCAGAGTATGCTGCCATCGGTCAGATTCAGCCAAAGATTCTGCGTGAGATCGCATTTCTCGCACTTCCAACCACTTGGTGGGATCTTCTTGCCATTGTCCAGCTGTTTCAAATTCGCAGCGTGTCTAAAAATTCCAATAAACTTTGTAATCTTATTCAATTAATAAAATTTTATTAAAATACACACACATCTGTCATAAGATACTATTTAGAAAAAAAGTAAGAGAAATTTAACAAATATTTTATCTATTAAAAATAAAATTTTCATGCTCTTGATATATAAATTTTGAATAATAATTTAAGTTTAATGCTAATGCATTTAATATACTATGAACATATATGATAAAATACAATGTTATCTTTGTGCTGGATATAGAACTTCTTTTTAGCCTTTTTGCAGTTAATTAGAATTATTCAATTAATAATAATAAACTCGAGAATTTCTCAAGAAACTCACTTTGATTCTGATCTGATCTCTCCATCCCACGTATTGGTTACAGCTTCTACTTGTGCTACCGCCCATGCACTTTCCATTTGTATTATAGTTTTGACTGCAAGTTCCACCTGTCCACAATTTGTTGTCTCTTAAGCATAATTAACTATATACAACACAATTTTGCAAATAAATCTTACCTTCTCAGGTAAATTGCTTGAGGGATAAGGAATAGAGCAGAAAGAAGGTAGAATAATTATATTATATTCCTCCTCGTAAGTATACTTTTGTTGATCAGGCATAAATCCACCAGCTGTTCCTATTGCTAGCCGCGTAATCTTCTTTTCAGGCCCATCTCCTTGTTCTTCAGATGAAATCTACAAAATATATTACACACATTTTTAAAATCAGACTAAATAAATTTGTAAAAAAGAATATATCAAGTATCCAACATCTTTCATATATACACTTTGCAGTTTACGAGTCAAAAATAGTAAAAATTATACATTGATGCAAAAATTCCAATAATTGAGTAAATTGTCAGGTGCATAAATATTACACTTGATATTATTCAGATACAGAAATAAACGTAATCATATATCAAACAATAGAAATACCTAGTGTTAGCACAAAAACACTTGTCAAACACGTTGAGTATACATGATTCTCTACTCGAATCAATTTTTTTAAAGACAGTCTTCAACATAGTTTGTTGAATAAATCAGAATCACCTCTTTCCTCGTACGTTTGACATGAAGAAACACAGGATACGAGGTTTTACTGTAGTACCACATGACATGTTCCTGGCCCAAACCCAGGAAAGACGTAAGACTAACGTAGAGACCGGTGTCCGAATCCTTGAATAGAGAAGAAATTTTTCAGCAATATAACGATTACGCTCGTCGAGAAAAAAAAAAAGGACAAAGGAATACATCTTACTGGCGTGTCGAAGGAGTAAACACACTCGTCCTTGTAAATCTTGTCCGTCTTTCGCGGGACATTGATCGTGTTCAGGTGTTTCGTCAGCGCTATGAGCTCCATGGCGAGGAAAACAATTCGCCGGCGATGTGATCCCGTAGATATTTCCCTCTTTCCTTCCTCGAGACTTCAACGCGGGGATCTCTCGTTGTCGCCGGATGAATCGCCACCGCTAGAGGCGCTGCTTGTCACCCGACCTAACTTAATTCGTACATCGCCGGCTCCGCTATCGATGACACTGCGAGAATCGAGGAACGGCGGATCGATTGGACCGTGAAACTTCAGGAACGATGCGGAATAAGTTTCGAGACTTTTATTTACTTTCATATTATTCTCAATTTTTTTAATTTACATCACAAATATATACATGCGCAATTAATTCGTCGTTTCTCAACCACCTGTCAAATCTGACATATCTGTCACATCTGTCAAATCTATCATATCTGTCAAAAATATATTTCGAATTTTATTTGAATCAACTATTTGAACTATTCGCGCGGTTTCGATATGTCGATACCTCGAGACTGTCGATCGCAAGATGGCGGAGCAAAGGAAAGCGGCGCGAGACGTTGTTCGAAACGTCGCATGTTTTTTCGACTTTTCGATCGTCCAGAAGGAGTTTCGACGCCCGAAACTTTCGCGAGTGTCTCCCGTAAAGTGTCGGACGTCCAAGTATATTCGGGAGCTTGTGTAGACGCGAGTGACTATGTGAATATCGGAGATTCGTTTGTGCACGATCGAAGTCGCACACTTTGCAACCTTATTTTCTCGTCGATAAGCACAGCGACATCGGAGCAACGATAACCAGGTTTTTTGCATGCGTCCTTAATATATTATATATTGGTGCATCGATATTATTTGCATTCTCGGTACTGTGCAAGTATGATGCGAATGATGATATCGAAGAGATCACTTGAGATCATTTTGTATAAGGGATGATAAAATTTTCACATGCCCACATGTGTGTATATATATGCACGTGTGTGTAAAACTGTTAGTCTTCCATCTTCCTATATTATTGGATTTTATCATTAAAATTATTAATTCATAAAATTATCCTACATTTATTCTGATATGTTCATTATATATATATCAATCTTCTGAGACAAGCTGTTCAAAGATTTTTAATACATCACTTTTTATCAAATCGAAAATAACACATTTGCAAATCAGAAAATTGCAATACTTAATTTTTTACATTACATCTATTGATTGAATAATATATCTTTTACTATGTATAAATAGAATTCTATAATTAATGATTTATATAGTAACTATAATTAATACATGCTAATGTAATGAATTGAAGGACAAAGCTGGCATAAAATTTCTAATTTTATCCAATTGCAATTCGTTACATACGCGTGTGTTGCCAACTTAAAATCAATATTCTACCTTATGTTGCTGGATTTTACCATTAAAAATTATTAATGTATCAAATTATCTCACATTTATTCTGTTGATTATCGTGCTTCTGAGACAAGCTGTTGAAAGATTTTTAATACTGTCATTTTTTTATCAAATCGAAAATATAAATATAAGCGAATTTCAAACATTCCAATAGAGTTCCCTAGCATTTTTCAACCAATAAAGACGCGTATCGGAGTCGAGATGCTTCCAGCCCTTTCATTGGTCCGCGATCGTGGGCCACACTAGAAATACAGTCTCATGAAAACCCCCGGTCGGATCTAAAGGTCGCAGAATCCTTTGTAGGGGATGCCATTAGCCTGAGCGAGCACCGAGGAGACCCGAAATACGAGCTGTCACGCGACATTTTTCACGTCACGATTCGCTTCGTGGGTTCCCGTCGCGGTTAGTCCCTCGAAAGCGGATCTCACGTGACGCGAACGCAACCGCAAACTAAACTAAAACTAAACAAACCAGACTCGAGAACACACACGTGCATGTTTTTCTGTCTCCGAGCATCGTATTTCAAAATTTTTCAACGATCAGATTTTCCCGGAAAAATTAAAATAAAAATAAAAATTTCAACAGGAGAAGAGAGAATGGAGGAAAGCAAGAAACGACGCGATGAGAAAAATTCAGTCGAGGGGGGTCGGGGGAGGGGGGGGGGGAGGAAAATATTCGCGAACCTCGGCGCTTCGGAGAAAATCCGCGTGCTTTTCCGCGGGCGGCTATATATAACCCCGCGTCGCGCAAGGTCAATGGTAAACGCGAAAGAGTCAATGTCAAAGGTGAACGTCGCTCGACGGTGAAAAACGCCGATCGCCGCGTCGAACGCATCTCGTTCCTCTCTCGATACGGAGATGCCGTTAATTATTATTATTAATTCCTTATACGCGTGATCGCTTTCAGGCATACGCGGATCATTTCTCTTAGACTTGTATTTTTTCGGGATTTTTTTTCTCTATGAATACCCGACGATTTTTTGCAACGCGTGTCTACACAGAAATTTAATGTTTTCGTGTTAAAGTTTTTGTATTAAATATTTAACACATTTATGTGTTAATTTAATGTATTGCTGTTGTATTAATTGAATTTAAATGTTAAATTATAAAGCGACTGAGAAAAAAGATGTAACAGTAACACAATTGTGCATCTCTCAATTTAACATATCGATTTTCAATTTCACGCAATAAAAATGTTCTGTTTTATTAGCGACAAGATTTATCTGTTAAAATTTACAAAAAAATGTTGATTTTTTATTTTATAATATAAGCGAGGAAAATCTAAAATTAACATATTTCATATTTTTAGTTAATTTTTACATTAAAGCTATATTAATTTTATATAAAATATATTTTAAATTACTTGAAGTTTTACAATTTATTTTGTATTAAAATAACACAGTATATTTGTGTCTCAATTTAACATATCGATTTTATGTTAAATTAACACAAAAATTTCTTTGAACCGTTTGGGAAATGTGATATCCATTAAATTTAACACAAATTTTTTGACTGTATAGACATAATAATACACGTAAAAATAATTAAAAAATATACACGCTATATCCGAAACTTCTGTTCTCAAAGTATTTCACGATTAGTGCTACAAATTATATTATAAGACACATATCAAACTTATTAAGACGTCAAGGAAAATTTTAAAAGTCATGCAGTTGCATGTTAATAGGTTCATTATCTATAGAAGCAATACGTAATAATCTGAAGATAATGATACAAATATTTTCTCATGATAAATATTTTTCTTTTTTTACAACAAAAATAATTACACAATAAGTTCATAAAAAAACGGGAACTTTCAATCTCATATATACTTGGAAATATTATTTTTTTTTTTTTTTAGAATTTACCCTGAAAATCGCGGGACAATATGGTATTGAAAGAATTGTATGAGTTTTTCTGATTAAATGTTTACCACAATAAAAATTATTAATATGTTCATAATAAATTTTACTATATTGTACATAGTAAAAAATTAATCGAACATATTTTATATTTTATTGTAGTAGATATTAATACGTTTTATATTGTAGTACAAAAATATACGATTACCATGTGATTTTCGAGGTAAATTCTAAAATAAAAATTCTCTCTCTGTACAGTTGATAAGATCATTGTTTGCTTCATGAATGAATCAATTAAGGAATCATTAATAAAACAAAGGCAAATTATTGTACATAATAGCTCCCAACTATATCGCAATTATAAAGATTAAGCGAGGCAATTACATAGATGGGATATATTCCAGAATTTCTAATTAGATCATTACAGATAGAGACGGAGGAAAAGAGAGAGAAAGAAAGCAGCTCGCTCGGCAATTTTTCTTTACAGCTGATTTATCAGTAACTCGAGCGAATATCTTAGTCGCACCTTTTATGCGTGCCATCGCGTGCGCTTACGTCGAATCAATGCAATGACGCGCGTGCTGACGTATGCACGTGCAGCGAGAACCCCGAGTTTATCTTAATGATTTAATCTGATTTGAATGATTTATGGACTGCAGATTTTTTCCCCGACTCTTGCCGGAGGAAAGGAAAAGTTTCGCAGTTATGCGCTCATCGGCAAAAATCGAGATAAAAAATTAAATATATTAAAGCTTAAATTTGAGTTTTTTATTTTTCTCTCCGATGGAAATTGAATGAAAAAATGTGAAACGGAGCGATATATTTCTCTGCCCCTTTTTCTTTCTCTCTCAGAAGTATTTTTAAAGAACGATCGATGTCAAATCAATATCGAAGAATTTGTCACTAAGGAATTGAGGTTCTGGGACACTTTGTATATTTATATCCACACTCGGTCAACATTGTTAACACAAGTCATCTAACGACGCGAAGCACGCTCTTAAGGTCTTTTTTATTAGCGTATTGTTCACGATCGTACAAGGACGGATTCGAAAATTCGTGAAAGATTACGCTAGAAACATAAATTCACTATCGAAACGTTATATTTCCGATCTGAATAAACGATCTGAATAAACGCCATTCAAATTCCTCTCGAAAACAATAAAAAACGTATTACGATCGCGTTTTCTCTCGTCTTAAAATAACGCATACGTAATAGTGTATATGTTCTATGCGCAAACAAGTGAGAGAATTCGAATATTATTTTCCAGAACTCTGATATTTAATTGTACGTTTAAAATACTTGCATTTTGTATGCAAAATTTTACATTTATTTAATACCATCTCGATCGCGTTGCATATTTCGCAATATATTAGACGAAACGACGCGATTTTTCTCTCGTTATCAGGGTACGCACACAGAGAGAATTTTCTCTTAGAATTTACCCTGAAAATCATGGTAATCATGGGACAATATGGTATTGGAAAAATTTGATAAGAGTTTTTCTGAATTGAATATTTATCACAATAAAAATATTAAGATCCATTACAATATAAGATATAAAATATGTGCGATTAATTTTACTATACGTATATGATAAGATGGTAATATCTTACTATAGTAAATTTTGCTACGTACATATTAATATTTTTTTATTGTAATAAAGATTAATTAGAGAAACTCTTATAAAATTCTTCCAATATCATATATTGTCCTACAATCATCATGATTTTCAGGGTGAATTTCTAAGAGAAAATTCTCTCTGTGTATATACATATATGTGTACACACAATATGCATTAATTTGAATTTTTCCAATTTTTCAATTTTCATTCATGAAATAAATAATAATTTTATGAACTGTACACAGAGATAATTCTTTTAGAATTTACCACAATAATATATAAAATATGTTTGATTAATTT